TGTAGCTGGTAGTAGCGTGTGAGCTGGTGTTAGCTGGTTTTGGCTGATGTCTGTAAATATAATCCATTTGGTCAAACTACCTCCAACATTTTCGGTTTTGTCCATTTTTTCTGGTACTCACTTTTGAGCTTCTTAACTCTTCTCCGCTCTGTGATGATGTCTGTGGATATCCATTCTCCTCCATCCTCAGCGCTTCCTCCGCAAACACTCTCTCATTTCTAGTGGAACCATCGAGCTCATGGCGTCCTCTCCTCAATCTGAAGGAGGTTTTGAATGCATCCAGCGACCAAGGAATTGTTTTCCGTATGGATAGCTATATAGTTTTCAGCTGGAAACTTGAGGAAACGTGTTTGTTATGTGTTTTTTGCAACAGTTGACGCATATGCTGAATGAGTGATTGACAGCGCTTCTGACAAATCAGAATGGACGTTCACCGACGTCAGATTGTTTTGGTATCTACTCTGCCCGGCTGGTACCAGGGCTAAGCTGTTAGTAAATAAGTACCGTGTAGCGGCCAAAGCGAGCTGGTGGAAACGGCGCACACCGGGGAGAGTCAAGTTGAGTAGAGCCTGTGGAAACAGGCCTTTAAGACACAGTCACATAGGTTTTTACAAACGAACTAGGCCAAGTGGCCCGGATCGTCCCCACAGGGGTGTGAAGACGGCCCGCGGTCACAAGAGCTTGTTACCACAAACGTGCCAGAGCAACTGTGTTGAAGTACAACGATCGGTCCAGCAGGTGACTCAGTTATCCTCAGCAGGTTGCTGAGGTAACCTCAGCAACTACCTCGTGGTCCGAGTTAAGTTTCCGTTTCTCTTCCTGTTGACATTCTGCTCTGTGCGCAAACAGCTCGAGTACGGATTGCGTTGTTTGTCTCAGAGCATTGTGTACAACTGTGAGACGTGTCTTTCCCCAAAGTGCAGCAGCTCAGTGGGACACGTGTGTGTCTGAGTGTGCGCAGGCGGGCTGCAGACACGGGAGTGCGCTTTGGAATAAAGAGCGTAAGCGCTGAGAAATAAATGAATGAGAATGAAAGAATGAAAAGTGTGGCGTACGAGCAGAGCGACCGGAGCCAGGCAGGATACAAGTGTGTTTGTGTGTTCTGGCGATTAAATAGAGTCTGATTCTTGATCGTCTGAAGTGTTATTGCACCACACTGAGACAGCGAGGGTCAGGACAGAAGGTAGTTATTCCCCGTGGAAAACACTTTCCTTTTGCTCTGGAGGGACACACTCCGCTGCACCGCTCGACCAAAGCCCGGGGGCTTTTATGAAAGGTTTAACACAAGCGGAGAATACAAAAGTATGCGACTGCTGTAGAGACGTGTGTGAAAGTGCGCATCACAACAGGCGCAGCAGGAAGACGTAATGTGACCAAATATGACGCACAATATCACGTCCCCACCACACCTCATCCCCCCGCTCCCCACATTGACCCCCCCCCGCCCAGTTGCAGCAACCGTGCCCAAGCCCACTTTAACCGGGCTTTAGGCTATGCATGTGACCACAGCCTAAGTCTCTCTCTGGCCTGGGAACGCCAGAAGGAAGTGTGTGTGGATAGGGAAATCTGGGCGTCTCTGCTTACACTGCTGCCCCCGCGTCTCGGCAACGGATGAAGCGGAAGAAAATGGATGGATGGTTGTCAAGCTAACAGACCAATGTAAAACTGAATTACTAGCTTATAACTGAAACAAACATAACTGCTGGATATCGTGGGCAGCTTTGGAGAGTTGGGCTGTTTTGGAGAAAGGAGATGAAATTAAGGTAAATGTTTTTATACATTTCTGCATACTATGTCATTAAAACAGTTGTATGTTTTAAACATCATTCATAAATAACAGTTGGATTAAAGACACATTCTCATGATTTAGGTTTGAACACCACGACTTCTTGATCAGAGACAACCAAAAAGTGACTGGAACTTTGATGGTAAATGGTATGTGCTTTTAGAGTTTAACACATCACTGAAACGTCATTAGTCTCACAGTGGAGAAATTTCAGTTGCGGCCCTCAGTGTCATTTTCTGTGGCCCTCTGCCTTAATCACCCAAGGTAGCCTTTGAGATCATAAACACAAGTTCACTGTGTCCTCCATCCAACTTCAGCTCAGCCAATATAGACATGTCGTGACCAGTTGGGGCGGGTCCCGGCTCAAAAGTGGCCAAAATGACGTGCGCTGACATGCTTGCAATACCACCCCGGGCCGATGGGGGTGGACCCAGAATAAGAATTAGCCAATGCTAACATATAGCGTTGGCAGACCTCTCAAAAACGTCTTTACAGGATGGTCCAAAAGTTGGCTCTTGGCCCAAAGCTCCGTTCCACATGTGTGTCAATGCTGAGGGGGGTGGATTTTTTTGGACCACTCTAGTTTACTCGCGGTGAATTTTGGAAGTCTCTCGTTAAAATGAATGGAGCTGCGCCGGCTGACGCATGCGCAGATGCGTTTTTTCGCAATTTTCTTGAGGGTGGGACCACTTGCGGCCATTTTGGATCCAGTAGAGCACAATTTTTGGCCCATTAGTTAGAACGGCGGAGATAGGCGTGACTCTGTCCGTTAATATATACAGTCTATGGTCGTGACTCACTCTAAAGCCCAGTACTTCTGAAATTCAGTCGTTGACTTTATTTGTACATACTTTACTGACGTGCTTTTTTTATTGTCTCAAACTTCCAATTATTGTGCTACAGTAGCTGGTGAGATGGTAAAGATTTTATCATTCTGCCAACTTCAGCTCTGTAAAGCATTGTAAAGCATAGTACAGCTCGATACTCCGTGATGTCGGCCCGTGGAATAGTCTAGCAAATTAAAATGGCCCTCTTAATTAAATGTTTGGACACCCCTGCTTTAACCAACACAGGGTTAATCGAACAACCCAATTCGGTTTTAGGGTGAAGTACTCGGCCACCGTCTGCAGGGGGTGCTGCATGGGAAAAGTGTTTGTAGGGTTAGGGTTTCAACGCCACCCCCTGCCGGCTGATTAGTCAGTGGAAAAACTTCCTTTGGAGAGAGAGTGCTGTATCAGGACTTGGACCATTCTTGAGGTATATTTAGTCCTGATGAATCCACTCTCTGGACCAGGTCTGAACCAGGACTGGACTAAGCCTCTGGGTTCACGCCACAGAGATCATTGGGGTCTCAGATCTGGTTACACTCCTGGCTCAGACCTGATGCTGACCCACACGAGACCAAATAAAAATAATCCACTTCACACAATATTATTAGATCTCCAAGGCCATAACCCAGACCTCCTCTAGCCTTAAGGACTAGCAGGACTAAAAGTAGAACTAAAACAGGTCTAAAGCGGGACCAAAGCAGGTCTGAAGCAAGACTAAAACAGGGCTAAAGCAGGTCTGAAGCAGGTCTAAAGCAGGACTACGGAAGAAAATGATATGTTCAGAAGTTTTAAAGGTTTTATTGAGTCATTGACATCATTACCACATCCTGTCCAATTACAGGCCAGCATTCATTCATGTAAACCAAAGAGTTGAGTTTCAAAATAAGAGCACAACATTCCACTGTACAGAGCTGCCGCCAAAGTAAGAGCGGGGCTATGTACATACGTATCTGACGTTTTATTGCTGCAAAAATCTGTTTCCAAATGTTCTCTTCAAAATAATGTTTTTTTAAATATTGAGAAACGGAATAAAGGACCTGAGCAAACGGCCGTAAACTGTACACTTTTACACACCAGGAATTTTACCACAAATGAAAGAATATATCAAAGTCTGCGTACACAAGAAACCAAAGCTGCAAAGTACAACAGTATTATCAGTATTATTATTATCAGGATTATCAGCTCCTCTGGAAGAATCTCGAGACTTTCCCAGGCCAGCTGAGAGACCGTTCCACCAGCGTGTCCTAGGTCTGCTCCCAGTGGGGCTTGCCTGGTGTTTGGTCCTGGACCTGGAGAGGACCAGGACCTCTGCACCTAGAGAGGACCAGTATCTCTGCACCAGGACCTGGTGAGAACCAGGACCACTGCAGGAGGAGATCCTTGTTTAATGAAACGGATCAACATACCCTGCAAACGGCAGAGATGAATCCTGTGGTCCCAAACCAGACCCCTCCGACTGCCCCCAATGGAAACACAGCTCCAGTCATGTAGTGTCAGTAGCAGTAATAGTAAAGAAGCCGTGATAGTAGTAGTAGTAGTAGTAGTAGTAGTAGTAATAAAAGCATTAGTACAATTCAGATACTAAACCTCATGTAAAATGTATTAATACTTTTCCTCAAAAGAAAAAATACAAAATAAATAAAACAAACTGAACGTTATAAACATCTGCATCAAACACATCTGTACAAACACTGGAGTTTACAAAAAGTGTGTGTATTTCTCTCTGTGACTGTGTGCATGTCTGTCTCCATCTGTGTGTGTCCGTCTCTGTGCGCACATGTGTGTGTGTGTCTGTGTGTTGTCTCCATTTGTGTGTGTGTGTTGTCTCAGTTCCGCTGTCATACCCGTGTTTTCTTTAGAATAAACTTTTATAGACAACGTGTCACAAAATATTTTCTTGTTTTAAACACTTTAAAAAATCATTCACTTTAAATATCTCAAGTTTTCGACCTGCGAGAAAAGTAGAAAGATCAGGCGGCCATTTTGTGTTTGTATGTTTGGAGCAGACGCAAAATGGTCACTTCGCTGTCAAATGTTCTTAATGAGTTCCACTGTGCCCATGAGCCTCACACTTCCACTGTGCCCATGAGCCTCACATCTCTTCTGTGGTTGTCGGTTGTTTGGGAGCTGTAACTGGACCCATATGTTGGCTCCAGTTTGCAGGACATGTCTCTGGTTGTGGGTAATTGCCCTTGGGCCTCAGTTTTGAGTTCGGGTCAGGACTCGGGTCAGGACTCGGGTCAGGACTCGGGTCAGGACTCGGGTCAGGACTCGGGTCAGGACTCGGGTCAGGACTCGGGTCAGGACTCGGGTCAGGACTCGGGTCAGGACTCGGGTCAGGACTCGGGTCAGGACTCGGGTCAGGACTCGGGTCAGGACTCTGTCTACCCGTCCTTGGGCTCCAGCTTGCAGCTCATGTCGAACAGAAGGTTCTGGTTGTCGATCACCTGCAGCTGCCGCACATACGCCTTTGTCTGGAGGTGAGAGGGCGACGTCTCCGTGTCCACCGCTGAAGCAAGAGCAACCAATCAGATGGGCTGATACAAACATGTGACACCAGGGGGCAACACTTACGCAGCGGTGAGCTCCGGTAGCGGCGAATCGTCCGCACCATCTCTGCAACTTTGTGCTGAAACAGAGAGAGGGCAGTCAGTGTTCATTTGAGCCAAAAGTGTGGTCTGAGCGGTGTCTGTAGGGCTGTGGACACTAACCATCTTCTCGAAGTTCACCAGGTCTGCATGGAACGTCTTACAGCTCTCATGGAGGAAAGTCAGGTCTGGAACAGAGCAAAGTTCTCATTGGAATTCAGTGATACCAGCCTACGACAGGAGAACACTTCCTGATGGAGAGGAGGGAGACTCAACAGGAGAGCACCCCCTGAAGGAGAGAGGAGGGAGGGAGACTCTACAGGAGAGCACCCCCTGAAGGAGAGAGGAGGGAGGGAGACTCTACAGGAGAGCACCCCCTGAAGGAGAGAGGAGGGAGGGAGACTCTACAGGAGAGTGCCCCCTGAAGGAGAGAGGAGGGAGGAGGGAGACTCTACAGGAGAGCATCCCCTGAAGGAGAGAGGAGGGAGACTCTACAGGAGAGCACCCCCTGAAGGAGAGAGGAGGGAGGAGGGAGACTCTACAGGAGAGTGCCCCCTAGAGGGAGACCACAGACCTTTGAGCAGCAGAGGAGTGAAGGGGATCAGCGGAGGTCTGAGCGTCTGCATGAGGTCCCTGTAGGACTTGTGGTTCCGTGACGGGTCCTGATAAAGCACAAAGAAATGTAAGAAAGAGTGTGTGTATTTGCGTGTGTGTGTGTATATATTGCGTGTGTGTGTGCTCATGTATGTGTGTGTCTTTCCTGTGTGTGTGTGTACTTGTTTACACTCACAGCGAGGCTCTCAAACTGCTGGAACTGTTTACGGAACTTTCCCGGTAATCCCTGAAATAAACAAATCATGAGACAAAGTACAGACCATGTGACAGAGGACAGACCATGTGACAGAGGACAGACCATGTGACAGAGGACAGACCATGTGACATGACAGACCATGTGACATGACAGACCATGTGACATGACAGACCATGTGACAGAGGACAGACCATGTGACAGAGGACAGACCATGTGACAGAGGACAGACCATGTGACAGAGGACAGACCATGTGACAGTACCTCCCATGTGAGGCGCAGACGTCCCACTGCTGGATTGTCCAAACCCAGGACAACGGCGAGGAAGGAGAGCAGGTCCTGCTGCTGTTTACAGCTGAATACGACAAATACAGGTTTCAAAGTTTATTTGTAAAACACAAGACGCAAGTACTACAACAGTACTACAGTTGAAGTATTACAAATACAACAGTAGGAGTACAGTATCAGTACTACGCAGGAGTACTCACAGAGCTGCGATCTTGATGTACTTGCGGAGTAGTTGTACTCTCTTGGGCAGAGACTGACACTGCAGTATCTCAGTACACACCCACGACTGTACTTCACTGCAGCGCTGCAGTACCAGCTCCAGGTTCAGGGGGCGCCAGCGAGACTGCTCCCCGTGGAAAACATAGCACACAAACTCCACCTGCACAGAAAGTACATCAAGTACTACAAGAGTACTACAGAAGTACTACAGTAAACACTAATACTGCAGTTAGAGGAACGGGGCCATCCCTTCAATGCCTACTTCTCCCAGTGGGTCACATCGTTCTGCGACATAAGTTTGGGCTGTGTGTATTTATTTAGCAGAAGAAGTAGTAGTACTGAAGTAGTAGTAGAATAGTTGTAGCGGTATTGCAGAAGTAGTATTGCAGTAGTTGTCGTATTGCAGTAGCAGTAATAGTATTGCAGTAATAGTATTGTAGTAGCAGTAATAGTATTGCAGTAATAGTATTGTAGTAGCAGTAATAGTATTGCAGTAGCAGTAATAGTATTGCAGTAATATTATTGTGGTAGCAGTAATAGTATTGCAGTAGCAGTAATAGTATTGTAGTAGTAGCAGAAGTAGTAGTGAAAAGGTAACTGTGAAGTACGATTAGTAGTACTAGTGGTAGTATTGCAGTAGTAGTAGTAGTAGTAGTAGTAGTAGTAGTAGTAGTAGTAGTAGTAGTAGTAGTAACCTCATGAACGCAGGTGAACAGCTCCCAGTCAAAAGCCACCAGTTGGTTGGACACCTCCTCTGCAGACATGTCATGGAGTTTACTGTCTCCAGGGCTCCAGTGGATCTCCTCCGGGAGCGGCATCTACGAGCACACACTGTGATGATGAAGCAGCAGCAGCAGCCTTAGCAGCCGCTGCCGCCGCCGCAGCACTCACCAGGCTCTCCAGCTCTCGGGCCTCGCAGGTGAACAGGTGAGTATTGACTCCTAACGTGGTGAAAACTGCTTCATCCGTCGGACGAAAAACGATTTTTTCTGAAACACAGATTTAAATTATGATCATGACCAGGCAGAGGGGTGAGGGAGGGGGGAGACAGTGGAACGAGAGAGGGGGAGACAGTGGGGCAAGGGAGGGGAGACAGTGGGACGAGAGAGGGGGAGACAGTGGGACGAGGGGCGAGGGAGGGGGAGACAGTGGGACGAGAGAGGGGGAGACAGTGGGGCAAGGGAGGGGGAGACAGTGGGACGAGAGAGGGGGAGACAGTGGGACGAGAGAGGGGGAGACAGTGGGGCAAGGGAGGGGAGACAGTGGGACGAGAGAGGGGGAGACAGTGGGACGAGAGAGGGGGAGACAGTGGGGACGAGAGAGGGGGAGACAGTGGGACGAGAGAGGGGGAGACAGTGGGACGAGAGAGGGGGAGACAGTGGGACGAGAGAGGGGGAGACAGTGGGGCAAGGGAGGGGAGACAGTGGGACGAGGGAGGGGGAGACAGTGAGGCATGGTTCCCGGACACTGGCGTCATGGTAACAGCCAGCCCAGCGCACACAGCTTCTATGGACTGATTTAAACTTCATCATGTGTTAGAATGGTCCAGTGGGTTGCGGTTTGAAAGCAGGGCGTTCACACAGAAGGGTTGGGGCCACATACCTCCCGCAGACGTCACGGCAACCAGGACCAGGTCTCCGGGCAGGACAGGCTGCTCCTCACTGTACTGGAGCTTCTCTCGGACCAGAGCCAGGATCTCCGAGACCTTACAGGAGAGCCGACTGCGGATGGTGACGTAAGAGTGGTCCGGAGTGTAGACCCTGCAGAAGACTGAGACCAGAGACCGGGTTGGACCAGGGGCCAGAGACTGGGTCTAAAGCTGGACTAAAGCAGGACAAAAGCTGGTCCAAAGCAAGAGGAAAGCAGGTCTAAAACAGGTCTAAAGCAGATCTAAAGCAGGTCTAAAGCAGGTCTAAAACAGGTCTAAAGCAGATCTAAAGCAGGTCTAAAGCAGGTCTAAAGCAGGTCTAAAGCAGATCTAAAGCAGGTCTAAAGCAGGTCTAAAACAGGACTAAAGCAGATCTGAAGCAGGTCTAAAGCAGGTCTAAAGCAGGTCTAAAGCAGGTCTAAAACAGGTCTAAAGCAGATCTAAAGCAGGTCTAAAGCAGGTCTAAAACAGGACTAAAGCAGATCTGAAGCAGGTCTAAAGCAGGTCTAAAGCAGGTCTAAAGCAGGTCTGAAGCAGGTCTAAAGCAGGTCTGAGGTCTTACTCTCGTCGGAGCCTCTAAACGCCTCTCTCGGTTGTAAACAGGCGTCAATTCGTCTGAAGTGTCGGAACAGAGGTCGAACCTGCCGCCTCCGGGACTCCTGCTCTTCCTCACTCCTAGAAAACAGCCAATCAGAGAGGCTTATGGAGACAGCCAACACGGTCTGGGGACACGGTCTGGGGACACGGTCTGATCTGGTCCTTGACCCCTTGGTGTGGGTCAAGTCTGGGTCTGGTCGTGGCCTAAGTCTGGATCCGGTCTTACGGGTTGTGAAGGATCTCGGTCCATCTCTGCAGCTTGAGGACGTCCTCGACCAGCTCTGGGAAACGGCTCAGGTCCTGCACCGCGCACATGTACAGCTCCTGCAGGATATTCAACACAGAGTAATGTGGGAGGTGCCGAGGGTGTGGAAGGGTCTGGGTCTGAGTCTTACCTTGGGGAAGGCCTGCCCTCTCGCCCCCTCTTCCTGCAGCAACTCTCTGTATGTGTCGAGAAAGCGGAAAACCAAACTGAGGACGCACTGTTTCTTCTGCACCACCGCCTCCTCCTCCAGGGGGCGCTCCGAGTCCGAGGCCGAGTTGTACCTGATGGCAGGTCAAGGACTAAACCAGGTCTGAACCCAGGTCTGAACCCAGGTCTGAACCCAGGTCTGAACCCAGGTCTGAACCCAGGTCTGAACCCAGGTCTGAACCCAGGACTGAACCCAGGACTGAACCCAGGACTGAACCCAGGAGCAGGACTGAGCCAGGAGCAGGACTGAGCCAGGAGCAGGACTGAGCCAGGAGCAGGACTGAGCCAGGAGCAGGACTGAGCCAGGAGCAGGACTGAGCCAGGAGCAGGACTGAGCCAGGAGCAGGACTGAGCCAGGAGCAGGACTGAGCAAGGACCAGGTCTGAGCCAGGACCAGGTCTGAGCCAGGACCAGGCCTGAGCCAGGATTGAACCCGGACTTAACTGGGTCAGAACCAGGACTGAATCAGGACCAGGTCTGAATCAGGACCAGGTCTGAGCCAGGAGCAAGACTAAACCAGGACCGAACCAGACCCATGCTTGGTCTCTGCTGCTGAGCCCTGACCCTGGTCTTACACTGCCCTCTGGTGGTACCCCTGGTCACTGCCGTTGTCCAGCACACACTTACTCACACCCACACACGGTTACACACGTATGTAACAGTGTTGTTAGTGTGTCGTTTGGTCTGGGTCAGGTTTGGGTCCAGGTCCGGTCTTGGTCTTGTTAGCGTGTTGTTTACAGATTCAGTTCTACATGACACCAGCTGGTTCTAGAGGCTCCAGAACCTGTTCAGACCTGTGCAGGAATCTCACTTTGACACACACACCCACACACACAGAAGGATACTGCTGCAGGAGGAGCTGCTGAAGTCTCTCTGACGTCATGAAGATGGGATGAGTGAGCATAAAGTCGTCCAACAAGGTCTCTGCAATGAGAGGACAGTGAGGACCAGAACCAGGTCTAAAACAGGACTAAAACATGTGTAAAGTAGATCTAAAGCATGTGTAAAGTAGAACTAAAACATGTGTAAAGTAGAACTAAAACATGTGTAAAGTAGAACTAAAACATGTGTAAAGTAGAACTAAAACATGTGTAAAGTAGATCTAAAGCATGTGTAAAGTAGATCTAAAACATGTTTAAAGTAGATCTAAAACATGTGTAAAGTAGAACTAAAACATGTGTAAAGTAGAACTAAAACATGTGTAAAGTAGAACTAAAACATGTGTAAAGTAGATCTAAAACATGTTTAAAGTAGATCTAAAACATGTCTGAAGTAGAACTAAAGCATGTGTAAAGTAGATCTAAAGCATGTGTAAAGTAGAACTAAAACATGTGTAAAGTAGAACTAAAACATGTCTAAAGTAGATCTAAAACATGTGTAAAGTAGATCTAAAACATGTGTAAAGTAGATCTAAAGCATGTGTAAAGTAGAACTAAAACATGTGTAAAGTAGATCTAAAACATGTGTAAAGTAGATCTAAAGCATGTGTAAAGTAGAACTAAAACATGTGTAAAGTAGATCTAAAACATGTGTAAAGTAGATCTAAAACATGTGTAAAGTAGATCTAAAACATGTGTAAAGTAGAACTATAACATGTGTAAAGTAGGTATAGACCCGTTTCCGTCGATTCTGCTAAGCATTTCCTTTTTTGGACTTCCAGTTAAGTCGTAGCGCGGCTTACACAACCCAGACCGGACCGAAGAGAGTATAGTCAAGGATCACACCATGTTCTCAAAGTGTAAAATGGATGCAGCAAAACGCAAACAAGGCAGTGCGGCCCGTGGTTGTGCTACACTCATGGAAACGCTCGACTGTGTGGCTGGAAGGAGTGTTCTGATCATGGCGTATTCTCATTGTATGGGATAGTAGCTTTGAAGATGATGAAGTGTTTTTGCTCGTATCACTTTGTTGCTAAAAAAAATTCCTTCAGAGGGAATCCTTTCCTGGAACTTTGGTTGGGATACGATTATCCGCCCCAGAGCAAGAGACGTAAACTGGAGAGGCAGGCCGGCTTTCATAGTGGCTCCAATTCTCACAGTAAGTCTCTCTTTTTATGTTTAAATGCTTAGCTAGGCATTGTGTCATAGTGTAAACGCTTCCTGGGATTTGTCTTTTGTTGCGCGTGTGTTCTATGTGTAGTCTCTGCAAAAAGAAAGTGCTTCTGTCTTTCAGAAGTTGCTGAAATGAGCACCAAATCTGCGCTGCCGCTTGGACCAGATTGACGACGAGCCAAAGTTTAAAGATGCTGCAACACAGTGGGAAGAATTCTAAACGATCGATCACAACTACGCATCAGCAAAGGCAGACATCGTTCAAAACAAAGCGACGCAAACAGAGACCGCAGTGAGCCCGGCCGTGGCTGATACAGGGCTGACAACCTCTGCTGTACACGGGAATAACACTGACCGTCTTTACGTTTTTCTTCACTTGGTTTTTTAAACGCCTTCAGCAGCGACTGTTACTGTTAAGATCTTGTATGACATGTTTTATGTCTCACCGTTTAGTTGTTACTAACCACCAACAGTGGTGCACTGATCAATGCAGTTAGAGCATGAATACAGGTCATTGGAGTCAAAGGAATAAAACATCATGCCACGATGTGAAGTAAGCAGCGATCTTCACACACAGTGTACTTTCATGTGTACTTTCATGTGTACTTTCTTGTGTACTTTCTTGTGTACTTTCTTGTGTACTTTCTTGTGTACTTGTGTACTTCATAACAAAGTTATGACACAGGCATCAAATTAGCAAACTTACATTCCATCGCACGGCGGCACGAACACCCAGGTCCAGCCATACATGTTAAGCAGTTTCAACACCTGTTGTCTTGGTTACCATCACCACCCATGGTTTGAGGACAAAAGCGTTAAGACTTTGACCTGGTTGAACATCTGCCTTCATGTAAATTAAAGGGTTGCGTTTGTAAAATTAGTACACAGCCAACTTTGTTACTATGAAGGTACTGATGCCTCATTTCCATCCACAGGCATGGAGTCAACAAAATACAAAAATATTTTTGTTGTGGGATGTTGTCATCCCACGTTTTTATTGTAGTTGGATGGGGAAGTGTGGAAGCCCCAACTTTCGTGAGATGTTGTCAAATGTTGCCATTTCATATTTCACGAAAGAAAAGAACGTCTGTTAAGAGTATCAGAATGTAAACAGGAAAGTCTACAGAAACAGGTTCAGAGGGGCTAATGGCACAGACCCTCTGTCAGTCTGCCCCAGGGCAGCTGTGACTAAAGTAGTCTCATCTCATTAATTATTATTGATGGTCTTTTTACCTCTTGTGAGTTTTGTGGTGGTTTTATAATCTCTTACATAACTCAGAGGCATCTGTGGGGCTATTACAGGATGGAGTCTGTTGCTCGTAGCAACAGCCACACTTCCATCTCAGTATCGGAGAATACACCACATTATTGTTCAAGAGAAATGACAGTTCACAAGGTTATGAACATGTCGTTGGCGTGGTTACCGGTTTTGTTGCCATGGTTACCTATGTTGTGGGTGGGTCGTTGTCATGGGGACCTGTGCTGTGGGCGTGTCATTGTCATGGGTACAGAGTTGTGATCTTGGCGTTGCTGTGGTTACCTGTGTTGTGGGCATGGCGTTGCCGGGTCACATGGTCGAGTACTGTCAGCGTCAGGTTGGTGGGCGTGTCCATGAGGAAGGCGGGGCCGGGCCTGTCACTGCTGCTGCTGACTGGCTCCTCTGAACTCTGCTCGTCGCTGGAGAGGGAGGGGCTTCTGACATCTGCAGGGGTGGGGCCACTGGGGGGCGGAGCCACAGAGGGCCAAGGGGGAGTGTCTTCACTGTCAGGACTGAAACAAACTTAATGTGAATATGAGAACCGGATAAAACTGCTCATGTACAGCAGGCTGTACCCCGAGCTCGTCCCATCATGTGGAGCAGGCTCTTCCCCAAAACAGGTTAATGAGGATTAGAGCTAAACCTCTGCACACACTGAGTGGAAATCTTGTCAAATGTATACAATTGATTGATTGAACCCAAAGCCAATCAGGCACTTGGCTCATATCTGAGGTGGTGGACACAGAAAAGAACCATGGACCTGAGCAGCTCCCTCTGATGGACACAGACCTGAACAGCTCCCTCTGGTGGCTGCTGTCGGGGGACGTCTCTCTGAAGAATGGCACCACTTTGGACAAACTCGCTCTGCGTTTAGAGCCCACAGCTCCTGAAGCCGAGCTGCTCCTGTCCACCACGGCCACACCTGAGGAGAGGGACACATGAGGGACAGATCTACAGCCTCTGTCCTGGATGTACAGCCTGGATTTTCAGATCTAGGTCTGGACTCTGACAGGAACATTCTAATACAGCATGATGACCCTCCTCACACTGAGGCTGATGAGCAGTGTTAGCGTTGGTGGTTCATACATGCCAGATCGGTGGAAAGTAAGACATGTATAGATTCCCCCAGATGAGCTGTGGACCTGACCTCTGTGGTGACCATTAGATTCAACATGAAACAAAACAGCTTTGAGGCAAAATTGTTCAAAAGTTCAAGTTGTTGTTGTTCAAATGAAACCTCACTGACCTCCAGCGCTGTGTCGGCTCAGAGCTGAACCCTGTTTCTTCAGGAACTTCTCCAGAGGCTTCATCCCAGACGGCATCCTGGACCAGGACCAGAGGAGACCAGGCCTGAACCAGACCAGGACCAGAAGAGACCAGGCCTGAAACAGACCAGGACCAGAAGAGACCCAAACACCAGATCCAGCGATTCAGCGCAGCATCTAATAACTGTAAAATGAAAAACATGGGAAACTGTTCAATCCAATTCTATGTGAGCTAAGGACTTAAGCAGGACTGAAGCAGGTCTGATGCAGGTCAAGAGCAGGTCTGAAGCAGGACTAGAGCATAACTAGAGCAGGACTAGAGCAGGACTAGAGCAGGACTAGAGCAGGACTAGAGCAGGACTAGAGCAGGACTGAACCAGGTCTATGTACCTGTGTCGTGGATCTGACCTAATTCAACGATCGCGGCGGGTTCGCGCAGAGCCGCGGTGGGCCGCGCGTGGGCAGGTGTCCTGGGCCCACGGGGCTCCTGTCCCTTGTCCCCTTGTCCTCGTGTCCTCGTGTCCGTGTCCCAGGTCCTGATCTGAAACTGCTGCTTCCGGGACAGTCCGGCCGCGGTGCGCCTCTGCAGTGCGTGTGCCTCCGCGTTCCCGCGGCTCCACGGGCCGCACTTCTGTCCCGTGTCTCCGTTTACTCCCGGGTTCTGCGCGCTCACGTGTCCTCTGATGTCCCTGCAGACTCCGCTCACACCGCAAACATGCAGCGGGCACGCGCGGCAGGTCTTTTCCAGTCGTGCACTGCGGAGCTGTTCTCTGCCTCAGAGATGCGCGCTCCTGTCCGTGCACGCGCTCTGCTGCAGCTGCGCGGCGAACGGGAGCGCGCACGGTTTACCGTGTTCATCGGTGTCGGGAGCGGGCACGGTTCACGCGCTGGTGGGAAATTAATAAAACAAGAACACCCACAATGAGTGTTTCTACAATATCGCCGTAATAATACTACAAGAATACTTCTACAATAATTGATTGTTTTAAACCATTTTCTAGATCAGAGACGCTTCACAGGACATTATTCACTCCAAACACGGTGGTGATAAACTACTACTGTAGCCACAGCTGCCCTGGGGCACACTTGACAGAAACGAGGCAACCAGTCTGTGCCAATGGCCCCTCCGACCACCACCACTCATGCGCAGACCAGACTCATTCTAATGCCAGTTTGGCACTTTACAGTGGCCCCCTGTGTTCCCAGAGGTCCCACATCATAGTACTGACCAGACTCTGCTCTGCTTAGCTTCAGAGGTCTGAAGGTATCTGGCTCTTACCTGCAGGTGGAGCCATTGCTACTAAAATACTACAGTAACAGACAATGCAAGTTTATTTGTATAGCGCAGTTGATACGCAAGGCCTGTTGAAAAAAAACAAAAACATTCAACACAGTGAAGAACGGAAGGCCAGTCCCTGTGCGCCTCAGATCCCAACAGGCCACTGCTACTCAGTGTCCAAGCAGGAGGCCACACACATGTGGTCATACTACCAAACAAGGATTATCAGTTGTGCTTCATACAGCGACACCTGCTGGAGTATGGGAGCAGTGCCCTCTTTCCGTCAGTGACAGTCCTGGATCTGTGTTGACCTAAAGTCTGTCTCCTCATGGCCTGAGATGTTTAAAAAGAACCCACCTTTTCAGAGCAGGTTTCACCATCAACCTCGATTCTGGTGAGGTCTCTTGATTCTGGGATTACAGTGAGGACATAACTACAGTACGATCACAAACACCGCTTCAAAACAACATTTAGTTGACCCCTGTATGAGACCCTGCATTTGACCCAGCCTCCACTGTCCTCTGCATTTGACCCCTCCATTTTTAAATCATGTTGGTTTTTAGATAAAACCAGTTATTTGACCCATCGTACACCCACACACACACACACACACACACACACACACACACACACACCAGTGACCTGTAATATAAGACATTGTCCACCAGGGGGAGCCAGCTGCTTTCATACATATTTATTGAATGATTGAGTTCCACTGCAGTAAATAAATGTCTCTTTTTAAAACAAAAACAGGAACCAATCAGATCGCAGCAATCTGACAACAAATACAAATAAACATTATCAACACTTTGTCCCAATACATTTGCATCACATTCAGTAGAACTCTGGAAACAAAGACATAACGCTGACCGCAGTGCGAGCACCAGCGCTGACCGAAGTGCTAGCACCAGCACTGACCGAAGTGCTAGCACCAGCACTGACCGCAGTGCTAGCACCAGCACTGACCGCAGTGCTAGCACCAGCACTGACCGAAGTGCTAGCACCAGCGCTGACCGAAGTGCTAGCACCAGCACCGACCGAAGTGCTAGCACCAGCACTGACCGCAGTGCTAGCACCAGCACTGACCGCAGTGCTAGCACCAGCGCTGACCGCAGAGCTAACCTCCACAAAGAAAAACATAACGGGAAATGAAAGTGTCCTCTACGGGGCAGACGTGCGCTCACTGCTCCTGACGTCAGCTCTGCGTCTGAAACAGAAAGGATTACACCGTTAATGATCCGTTAAAAACAGCTCTTCTGTCGTCTTCAGTCGTGTCCAATCACAGCTCTTTGTTAAGGTCTCACCTGTGCATCCTGAGGGGTAGGGGCCAGGTATGTGGGTGAGGGGCGTGGTTACTCTGAGGCGTAGGGGAGCTCGGAGTGGATTGGGGGCGGGGCTTTGACAGTGACTGGTTGTGACGTGCGGCGAGGCGGCGACGGTTTGGGCTGCGCTTGTTGTTGAACAGTGTCGTAGTACGTGACGCCACCGTAGGTCACCTGTGCCTGGGCCTGAGGGAGGTCACAGGGAGATCATGGTGAGATTATAAACATAACACACAAGGGTCAGAAAAGACTACTCACAAATAAGCTTTAAACGTGAAAAATCTATTTGAAAAGGCTAAGGACTGGGTCCCGGTGACATCACTGTATTGAATGGCTGCCTAAGGCATTATCTCTTCTAACATTTTGATGATTTCCCCCTGCAAAAATATTCAGTAATTCAATACTTTTTCAGTAAAGTAGTAATTTCTCTGAGTTAATTCACAATGACCAGACCGGTTTCATAAGAAACTGTGCAAACTCAAGACAATGTACGCAGAACCCTTCATGTGATAGACCACATCCAAACAGATAAAAGTGGTGCTGATGATTATTAACTCAGTTAATAGGGACTTCCTTTAAAAAGTGTTGTTTTTGGCTTGCATAATACAATTGTTGAAACAGTGAAAGCTCTGATACGACTGCAAGAAATCAAAGTTAATGGCTATTTCTTGGACACGTTTAGTCCAAAAAACAATTTAAAAAGGGTATAAATATTAGGGATTCGGTTTCGGCCGAATATTGGCTTTGGCGGAGTTCGGTTTCTGGCCGAACCTTAGAATTTTTCCCCACCGAACCCAAACCCTGCACTCACACTATGCGCGCCGTGGCTTTTGGATTCGTTCGGAAGTGTAAATTAGAGCTGAAACAACTAATCGATTTAATCGATTAAAATCGATTATTAAAATAGTTGTCAACTAATTTAGTCATCGATTAGTTGCTAAATAACTTTTATTTTGCCGTAAGCGGCTCATTTCGTGCATATTTTAACTCTGCGGTGACCAAATGGTGGCAGTAATGAGCCACCGGAGGTTTTACAGCAGGAGAAGTAGCGAATAGCCAATAGCTGGCCTCCTTTTATGTCACATGCTTCGCGCACAGCTTCTCTTCAGCATACAGCAAGATGGCGGAGGCAAGCGGAGTAAGCTCGAGAAAAAAAAGGAAAAAAGCAGAAGACAAACCTAATCGAACGAAGTCATCCAAAGTGTGGGAGCACTTTACTTTGAACCTTCAAAAAAGAAGAGTAACCTGTAAACTCTGCGCTACTGACTTGGCCTGGCACGGGAGTACTACGTCTCTGCGTGAGCACCTTAAACCATCTCTCTGCAGTACTGACTGTTTGCAAAAGATGGCGCCACACTCACTGTTTTAGGCATAAAGTTGATCTTTCAAATAATTTGCACAAAGATGTAAAAAAAAAAAAACATTTATCAGTTTATCAACTTAAATAAGCCTTGTTCGGGATTTTAAACTACTTCAGAAGCCCTAAGGATTTTCATGGTGAAAACATTATTGGAAATCTCCTTGTGAAATTTGCTAGAGTATGTAACGGTCAGTGTTTTGTTTTGATGGTCAACATTGAGTTCACTAAAGGATTACAAAGACATAATAAACAGCTCCAGTTAAGTTTTTGATGTGGATATGAATATGTAAAATGGTTAAAATCTCTAAAAAGTCTATGTTGAATGATGAAGGCCCTTTGTTAACAATTTACTTGGAAAAAAATTGGCAAAACTAAAATATAAGTACATAAACCGATTAATCGATTAATCGTAAAAATAATCGCCTGATTAATCGATTATCTAAATAATCGTTAGTTGCAGCCCTAGTGTAAATAAACATGCACTTTAGCGGAGGTTTATATCCTCTTGCTCTCTGTTGTTCTTTGGGTGAAGCGCGCTGAGGGCTCTTCCTGGTCATGTGATCGCCGCGGTCCAATTAGCTCTAGGTATATGCCGGTACGAGGGGAGTGGGTCTACCTGTAATGCGGTTCTGATGGGATCATAAACTAATTGCCTATTCACCAACTTTAGAGCCGATTATCTGTGCCAGGTACTTGTCATCTGAGCTGCGTATGACTGTAGAAGCAGAGTTGGTGAGTCCATGTTTAGGCAACTAGCCTCTTAGCATTAGCTTCTCTCCAACGTGTCTCATTGTACGAGTTTGGCATATTTCTCAAATGTCCATATATGTAATGTTTTGAGTCACGGGAGCATGACAAGCATTATGTTCCCCATTGTCAACCCTGGTTTAGTCCTGGTGTAGCTCCTGTTTTCGCTGTTTACAGTATGTTCAGTCTGCTCGCTCAGACCGCTAATGTCCCCGTGACCAGTTGCAGGTCTCTGGTCGCTGCACGAGCGCCCCGAAGAAAAGTTCAGCAACATTTATGTCCTGCGCGCGCCGCACCTCTGCCGCGCCTTTACCGCGCCTTTACCGCGCAATCCGTGCGTGCATCCCGAGATGCACATGCAGTTCCGCGCTCGAACGCACGTCACCATTGAAAGTTGACGCAACGCATGATTCGGTCTGAACGCAGCTTTACAGTGGTCTTACCTGTGGGGTGGGATACATGGCGGGGTATGGGAAGGTCATGACCCCAGGGGGAGGGTAGAAAGGTGGGGGGAGCAGCTGTTGTGGTTGCCCTGGTGACAGGGAGACTGGCGGAGCTCCATAGAGTGCGGGGTTAGTAATGGGGGCTCCTGATTGGTGTGGATGTAGACCTGCAACAGAAGGACATTTTCATATCAAAAGATTCTGAATACAGACTGAGTATAAACACACACACACAAACACACACCTGGGTGGGGCAGGTGCATCTCCGGCTGGACCAGCATGCCTTGGGGTGGCAAGGGGGCAGCTCCTTCACCGTGGGCGTACATTGGTCCCTGGTACGACACCGGAACAGACACTGGGGCTGCACACAGTTACACAGAGTCACGCACTGCTACACTGTCTTACACGAGTAAAACCACAACATTAATGACCCCTTTCTGGGGTCGTTCATACACACACACTCTACTATGAGACACACACACACACTCTGCTGTGAGGGCCATAAACACACACTCTGCTGTGAGGGCCGTACACACACACACACTCTTACTCGGGTCATAGTAGTGCCCCTCCATCACGCCCAGGTGCATTGGGGGCGTGGGCTCGGGGGCACTCCGTTGGCGGTGGGAGGAGTAGCGTTTCGCTCTATTTGAACTTATCTCCTCCAGCGGCTGGAACTGTCCACTGGGCACGTGCAGAGGCGCTGACAGACCTGCAGGGGGGAGAGTTTTCATCAGGATGTTTCCATACCATTGAAGGGGCCCTGGTCCTAAGCCTCCCCTCCCCGTCTCCAGGGAGGGCCGTGGCTGTGCCACATTCTGTGTCACGGTCAGTATAACTCACCTCTAATCTCGGAGCGTATGTAGGACGTTGGACTCTGGCTCCAGTTCTGGCCCAGACTGAGGCGGGCCAGATCCTGGTCCATGTCGGATAGACCCGTGTTGGTCTGTGTGGGTGGGTCAGTGGGTGTGTCTTTGGAAGCAGGGGGTGTGTCTTCCACAGAGGTCTGTTTACTGCCCATGTCAGCAGGGCGTGAGCGTGTCCTGCGCACCAGCGAGTAAGACTTCCTCTCCACCGGACGCTCACACGGAGACTCCTCGCGATTGGACAGTGCTGATGTAATGGGAGGGGCAGGGTCGGGGGTGAGGGGCTTCTGCTCTGACGAATTATAAATTCCGCCTCCTTCACTCAGTGCCTGATTGGTTGCATTAACCACAGTAATGTCATCCCTGAAACCACGCCCCCCTCGTGCTGTGGCCACACCCCCTCCTCCTGCTGTGAACTCCAGCGCCACCTGCGGGCTGTTCCGCTCCCTGTGGGGGTCAGAGGTCAGAGACAGACAGAGGTCAGAGACAGACAGAGGTCAGAGACAGACAGAGGTCAGAGACAGACAGAGGTCAGAGACAGACAGAGGTCAGAGACAGACAAGGACACACTCACCCTCTGCTGTTAGGGGCCCGTGCACTGATGGCCTCACTCTTGTAGGGTCCATTGTTCTGTGGTCGGGTCCTGGGTGGTGGGGCTCTAGTTCTGGGAGCGCAAGGCGCTGATTGGTTGATGATGTGAGGAGGCGGAGCCTGTGAGGGGCCTCTGGGGGCCTCTCTCCAGCGCTGCTCCGGAGACACCGAGGGTCTGAATGGGAACAGATTAATTTACATCAAATAAGCTCATAAACACAAACAACCTGCTGACTAGGGATGTAGATTGGTGACCGTTTAACCGGTACAATTTGGCACACTTGTGCCAAATTGTGCCAAATGTGCACTACTTGATGAAAAGGAGAAACTGCATAAAAACTATAAAACTTAGAAGTCTGTGTTGTCAACAACACAATGACCACAGGGTTTGAATATTGTGAACTTACAATGAAGTATGAATGTATGCCTTTTTTAGGGCCTTTAGAAATTGAAAATGTTAGGCGAGGCTAAAAAAATTGGGTTTTTTTCCCCAAACTTCAAAGGATGCAGAGGGAAATAGGAATGACAAACATTATGTTAGTGTTTTTTTACATAAACTAGAAAGCTCTAGCTTTAAAATGATGCATCACACAAGCATGTGAGATGTAAGATGTGTTTTTAAATAAGCAAAGACATTTGGGTATGCCCAACTTTTGTGCACGAGCCAAAATGCGGCGGGTGTTAAGAGGTTAAAGAGAAAAAGGGGAGAGGGGACGTCTCTTAATAACGCTATTTTAAGCCCTATTCGCACGATGTGACGAGCGGGTGCGTCTCTAGCTGTGTGCACCAATGTATCAGTAAACTCCGGGCCGACTCTCACGCCACATATGCATGCACACGCGCACAGACGCACATGCGCACACACTTTCCCCCCTTCCATTAATACGCAACATCCACGCGCATCATCTCTCCCCTCTGTTACCGCCTGCTAGTTGCACACTGGTGCAGGTCAGAACTACATTGGAGCTTATATTCTCACACACACACACACGCTCCTTTGTGTCACGGAGCCCAAAGGATCCTCGCAAATACAGTCAAAACACATGAAACATGTTTGTGCTGCTGGTCCTTGTCATTAGATCAGCTCCAGTCCACACACACTTTCAAACTTTAGGCCTGGACTCCACCGGGCGCGTCTCCATTGACGCGCGTTGGCTGCTGTCCGTCAGACGTCCGTAAAACGGACTAGTGGTCAAACCGGCTGCAGCAGCAGCAGCTCTGGCTGTGCGTTTATCAGCCTGCTTTATTTTTTGTAGGAGACATGTTTGGGCATTGTGTGAATGAATGAATGTTTGGCTGATGGAGGAGTTATGTATTGTCGGCGTGCATGTGTGCGTGAGCGCGCCCGTGTGTGTGTGTGTGTGGTGGGAGGCGTGTGCGTGCATGTGTGTTTGGGTCTGACTCCAGCGTTTATTATGATCCATCCTCTTCGTTTGTTTTCTACTTATTTAGCGCGTCATACACTTTAATCGGACCCAACTCGCCTCTCCGCGGCTTTAGGCAACAGGCAGCCGCTATAGTTTTAAATAGAAGAAGCGGTGTGTGATGTGTATGAGCTGTGGCTATGATCAATGCAAAGCACAGCATATTGAAGCATCGAGGACGTCGCAATGGATGAGGCAAAACTTATTGAAAGCAATTGGAAAAAGGGGAGAGAGAAAAAAGAACTCCAACATATCCAGTGTTGTGAGATCTGTCTCTCATAAGTGCAGCTCTCTCTCTGTGTGTGTGTGTGTGTGTGTGTGTGTGTGTGTGTGTGTGTGTGTGTGTGTGTGTGTGTGTGTGTGTGTGTGTGTGGTGAGGAGAGAGCGCCTCGCAGGTAGACAGGACAGAGCGAGAGAAACAAGAGCGAGGTGTATGTAAAGATTAGCGTATTAACATTACGCAAAAAACAAATGGTAGATTTACGATCAGGAAACTATTATTTAAATTAATACATGAAGAAAATTACACATGTTTATTAATCTTTATTATTATTATTAAGGACACAATACAACACGGTCCATAGTTAAAAAAAACCAAAGAAAAAATATATACAAGAAAACAAACCAAAGAGAACATTACAGCTGCTGAACAGTATAAAGGCATAACCTCCAGTAAGTCCATAATTTGGAGGTGAACAGCAGTGAGCAGAACTCGGGGCTGACGAGAGTCTTAACAATCACATTAATAGAGTTCCTCAGACGACACATAAATCTGAACTGAACATTTCGAAGAGATGCAGAACAAGATCGAACACCACAGTAAGCAAACATCTCACTTGCGCTGCTGTGCCGAGGAACCTTCAGCAGCAGCCTCAAGGAGTTGTTATAGGCCACAGTGAGTTTCTGCAAACTGGACTTTTTAAAACTCTTCCAAAGGTAAGCAGTGTACATAGGTGAGCAGTAAGATTTAAAAAGAGTTACCTTTACCTCAGGAGAGCACATACTAAACTTACGTAGCAGCATATTTGATTGGCCATATAACTGACACAGCTGCCTGTGCATGTCCTTGTCATCAGAAAGGTCACTGGTGATGTAGTGACCGAGGTATTTCACCTCATCTGCAGATTCCAAAAGGTTTCCGGAAAGGAAAAAATCAGGAAAACATAATTTACTGTCATCTTTAGTACGCGCAATCATTACCATGCTTTTTGCAGCGTTATATTTGATATTATGATCCAAACCATATTGAGAGCACACATTAAGTAGTTGCTGAAGACCAGCACTGCAGGGACTGAACACCACCAGATCGTCTGCGTACATGAGGTGATTATATCTGCTGTAACCAACACTGCATCCTGTGGTACAGGTGTTCAGTTGCACCGACAGGTCATCCATGTACACATTAAACAACATGGGAGAGAGAATCCCTCCCTGACGAACCCCATTAGAGACTCTGAAGGAGTCAGAAAGAGCCTCCCCCCATTTCACCTGCATGGTCTGCTCCGAATACCAAAAAATAAGCAGTCTGATCAGATACCCAGGAACTCCACGCTTTGACAGTTTCGAAAACAATTTCTCATGATCAATTCTGTCAAAAGCCTTGGAGGCATCTAGAAAACACACAAACATTGTAGAGCCCTGACAATGATATTTATCTAAAAGTTCCTTCAGTACAAAAATACAAGTGTCTGTACCATGGCCAGATTTAAAACCAAACTGGTTAAAAGTTGTACTTAAAAAAGGTTCAAGTCTATTTAAAATCACAGTCTCAAGAACTTTGGAAACGATGCTAGCCAAAGCTATAGGACGATAGTTAGCTGAGCTAGTCAGTTTTCCTGCTTTGTCTTTAATAACAGGGACCAGCAGAACTGACAGAAGAGATTCAGGCAGACTACCATGAACCATGAATCCAGTGAAACACAGGGCCAGCAGAGGGTACATATTCTTACTTGCAAATTTGAGGTGTTCAGATGTGATATTATCTGAGCCACATGACTTTTTACTTTTGAGTTTGTGGACAACATTAAAAACCTCTTGTGGCGTTACTATTGAACCTGCATTGTTTAAAATAGAACCTACAATGGGAGCTTTTCCCTTAATACAATTAAAGAGATCAAAGTAAAATTCTTTCCATAATTGACAAATATTTTGTGAGCCACTCACTCCATCCACAACCGAAGGGAGGGAGGTGTTGCTGTTACTCATCATTCTTATCTCCCTTCCAAAAGTCACTGCAGGTGTTGTCTTGGAGCTTAGATGCCAGAGATTCAGCCCTAAGACGCTGTTCATTCTTTTTTATGTACCTCAGACTGTATTTGTATCTTGCATTTGCATATTTCTTGTTTTCAAACAGAGGTCCACTCCTGCATCTCCCTGCATCCACCCAAGCTTTGAATGCAGCACGGGCCTCAGCATGAGCCTCACCTACGTGCCTATTCCAACCGGGCTTTCCACAGGGGGAGCGTATCTTGTTTGGACAGGGTTTCCCAGAACTTATAAGGGCTTCCAGAATTTTACAATAAAACAAATCCAGTTGGGTAGAATGTTCATGATTTGTACAGTTCATATCACGGCATAAAATAGTTTGTTAATAATCATTGTCATTAACAAATACTTATAACCAAGGACTACAGCATATATCAATACATGTTTAATAATGTGGTAAATATATTATTCCATTGTATTTTCAATGGAAAACGGACCCGACACGCGTCAACGAACGGAACAAATAGGATTGTTTCTATTTCGTCCGTTGCACCCTCCGTTAACGGAATACGTCCGACGCATGCGGAGGCAGTGGAGCCACTTCCATTCACCCTCATGGAGATAACTGAGACGGAGATGAAACGGACATGTTTGGACGGTCCATTTTACGCGCCCGGTGGAGTTGGGGCCTTAGCGGAGAACAACGAGACGCGGCTCGTTACTCGCTGCTCTGACCATGTGAACGAGCCGTTGTTTGCTTAAAAATCCTTTAACAGTACAGCAGAATGGGAAGATTAAAACAGCAGTTCTCTGTGCGCAAAGGTGCCAAAGCTGTTGCGGTTTTTGGCGCCGCTGTCTTGGCTCTGATCCAGTAGAACGCAGAGCTGCTCTTATGGAAAGTACGCGGCTCGAAATGGCTGTTATTTCAAAGAACGTGGAATATTTTAAACTACGCGGTTAACCGCTTTCAACCGGTTAATGAGGCTCGGTGGTCGGTCATGAAAATTCATAGTTTTGTACATCCCTACTGCTGACCAGTCCCTAATAGTACTACAGACGGCTCACTTTGTCCTGCTCCCTCCTCTGCTCTCTGATGCCACCTGCACAGCTGAGCCTGTACATGTCATCTCATCTGCGAATATCGTGTGCAATGCTGCAACTTCAGAATGTCCACTGAACGTCACTTTACGCATTATTCTGCAAGATATATATATATCAGGAAGTGTTTTATTTAACCTCTTAACAACCGCCTCATTTTGGCTCGTGCACAATGGTTGGGCATACCCAAATGTCTTTGCTTATTTAAAAACACATCTTACATCTCACATGCTTGTGTGATGCATCATTTTAAAGCTAGAGCCTTCTAGTTTATGTAAAAAAACACTAAAATAATGTTTGTCATTCCTATTTTCCTCTGCATCCTTGTAAGTTAGGGAAAAAAACCCAATTTTTTTAGCCTCGCCTAACATTTTCAATTTCTAAAGGCCCTAAAAAAGGCATACTTCATTGTAAGTTCACAATATTCAAACCCTCTGTTCATTGTGTTGTTGACAACAACTGTCTAAAGTTTCAGACTTCTAAGTTTTATAGTTTTTATGCAGTTTCTCCTTTTCATCAAGTAATGCACATTTGGCACAATTTGGCACAAGTGTGCCAAATTGTGCCAAATATCTTTACTTACATTTAATCATCATAAAAACAATATTTTTCATTATTGGTACTTATAAGTTACTAATCTATGTGTGTTTTTCTTTTTTAAATGTCAAAGTTATTTTTTTATGAGTGTAAATTCATTGCAGCTTCGAGAGCGTCTTTTGGCTTCCATTACGCACAATTGTCCAGGCACAACATAAGACAGGACACCATTGTCCCACCCCTTGTTCGAAAGCTTTCCTCATTGGCTACAAGGACATGTCAATCGTAAATCCCGGAAGTAAAAGCAAACAAGTTGGGAGCACAACAAAGATCAGTCCTCCATGCGCAAACAGCAGCACGAGCGGTACTTGCGGGAGCTATTGCAGACCCAAAAATTGGTCTAGCTTTTCGGGAGTAGTCTCATTTGAAAGATAAGGAGCTAAGGAACACGTAGATACCAGATGTTTGGGTGAAAAACAAAGCTAAAAGTCCGTTAAAAGTGAAAGAGTAACATCTGTGCTCTTTTTCGTTTTTTTTGCTAAAGATAAATGCACATTTTTGGATTATTTCTGCAGAATGGATTTTACTTTGGGAAATACAAGTGGATATAATTTTCCTTTGGACTGTTCCAGAGAGAATGATGTATTGCAAGCTGGGAGGAGAGCTGATTTATTTGTACAGCACAAGCCCAAAGGTAAAAAACTATCGGAATTGATTTATTTTGTGCCCACATTATGTGTTATATCTTTTGAATGCAAAGTCTGATGTAGTTTACACTTGTATATAAATGTAGATACGAAAATAAGCTTTAAAATGATATACAGCTTTTGGGGTTTGGTGTTCAAAATACATCTGCTATTGCCAGCAGAACATTTAAAAACATAAAAACGGCCGCCGGCGCGCCGGTTGTTGCAAAGTGGTTAATATATATATATATATATATATATATTAAATAACCCCCACTGAAAGATCAGGGCTGTGCTCACACTCAGAGAGCAGCCGTCCTCCTGTGGACTCACCACCTGCAGAGGGTCAGTGAGGGGCTGGTGCTATGAGACTTGGGTGGCATCTCTGACTGCCACCCCCCTGACCCAGAAATGGATTAAAGAGTAGAAAATGGATGGATGGATGGACTTCCTGCTTTCATGAACACCCGCCTCATTTTGGCTTGTGCACAAAAGTTGGGCATACCCAAATGTCTTTGCTTATTTAAAAACACATCTTACATCTCACATGCTTGTGTGATGCATCATATTAAACTTCTAGTTTATGTAAATATAGATTAAAATAATGTTTGCCATTCCTATTTCACTCAGCATCCTTTGAAGTTTGGGAAAAAAACAAGTTTTTTTAGCCTCGCCTAAAATTTTCAATTTCTAAAGGCCCTAAAAAATGTGTGCCAAATTGCTTTACTGACATTTAAAGCTGCACTAACAGACTTTATTTTTGTATTTATTACGAAAGTGCTATCCATGTCCATACAGTGCATTGGCATATACGTCCTTTTGAAGAAAAAGTAGAGCAGATTTGTGCTGGCGTGACATATTTTCAGTGATGGGAATAACGGCGTTATTAGTAACGGCGTTACTAACGCCGTTACTTTTTTCAGTAACGAGTAATCTAACTAATTACTTTGACAGTAACTATAACGCCGTTATCATTTCCGACATCCTGTTACTGCGCGTTACTCAAGACGCACAATGAACATGTTGTCATGAGAGAAGGGAGGATGAGAAAACCTCTCAGCAATTATTGGCTGATGTAAATCATATTTCCTTTACAATCTACATGTCTACAGTTGAGAGGATGGCTCATAAATTGTGTTTTTGAAACAAATATGGGTCTTAATCGCGCTCAACTACGGCTTCTATCACCGTGAGGCCTCAGAGGAGCTCATGTGAGCGCAGAAGTCGGCTGCATACAATTCAAAAATCGATACAAATACAAATCGATAAGCTCCTTTCTCTTCCTGGTTTATCTGCTAAGGACAGCAACAGGTTTGGCTAACATACATATAACACATTTTAAGATAATTTAAAATGCACATAGGGTAATTTTTCAATTACTATAGGAATGATAAGAAAGAGAGGTGAAGTGTAAGACGGTTTGTTTTAGAAATTGGATGCACCCGGCTGCAGCTAGCAAAACAGAGGAATTTATGGAGGACACACGCGTTTTGTTTTACTTTTTAAAACTCATTGGACTCATTTCCAAATGGAGGATTACATATTACGCTCAAACCATTAACTGGATTTAAACAAGGAACTGGTCTGAACTGAAGTGGTCTGTGCAGGTCATTTATAAGGTAAGACCCATAACTCATAGTTTTGTATGAACAAACAATGTAAGCATGAAACATATTTTGCTGTAGCCAAACAAACTGTCCAGTTGATTTATATGATTATATATGTTCATCTGATTGGGCTGAAGTCGGTGCTTCACCGGTGTTTCCACATTCACAGTGGAGCGTGTTGGTGTTTAGTGCTTACAGCACAGAGAGAGATGAAGAGTGAACAGGACTTCAGCAGCAAAACAGACTTTTCTAGATGGAAATATTGGCACTGTTAAAGGTAAAAATGCACACGTCGGGTGCACATTATGTTCCAGAACAAAACGAAAAAAGTAACGCAATAGTTACTTTTACTGGTAACTAGTTACTTTTATAGTGGAGTAACTCCGTTAGTAACTCAGTTACTTTTTGGGAGAAGTAACTAATAACTATAACTAATTACTTTTTCAAAGTAACGTGCCCAACACTGCATATTTTAGATCGAGTTTTGATGAAACAAGGAAGTGATGTGTTTCGGGTCGCAGATTTTAACCAATCACAGCGGACCACTGGCCCCCACTTTTGTGAGTATAGACAGCCGAGTTAGCACAACAAGCCGAGGAGCTAACCTGAAGCTTCCTAGTCTTCGTCCCGTTCCTCCGCGCTTCCCGGTTCTATCGTTCTATGGTCACGCCATCCACGTGCAAATCCATGTCCATGTATTATCCATATTGGGAGACGCTAGCTCCGTCAACAACAGTGGGTGTGTGTGGGGGGCAATAGCTTCGTGGGTGCGGGGAGGGGAGCAGAAAGAGCGAGGCCAGCGAGTCCGCGGCTTCAAAATCCCAAAGTCAGTTAGTGCAGCTTTAATCATCATAAAAACTATATTTTTTTATTATTGGTACTAATCTATGTGTTTTTCTTTTTTAAATGTCAACGTTAATTTATTAAGATTGTAAATTTATTGCAGCTTCGAGAGCGTCTTTTGACTGCCATTACGCACAATTCTACAGGCACAACATAAGACAGGACACCATTGTCCCACCCCTTGCTAGAAAGCTTTCCTCATCGGCTACACAGACATGTCAATCAAACGGCCAGGAAATAGATGCAAAGAAGTAGGGAAGACAACAAGCAGCCGCTAGCTGTACTCACGGGAGCTGTTGAGGACCCACAAATGGTCCTAGCTCTTCGGGAATAGTCTCATTTGATAGATAAGGAGCTAGGGAACACGAGGATTTTTTCCTGGATGGATTATACTTTGGGAAATACAAGTGGATATTATTTATTATTATATTATTTTCCTATGGACTGTTCCAGAGAGAATGATGTATTGCAAGCTGGGAGGAGAGCTGATTTATTTATGCAGCACAAGCCAAAAGGTAAAAAAAAATGTTGGAAAGTGATTTATTTTGTGCCCACATTATGCGTTATATCTTTTGAATGCAAAGTCTGATGTAGTTTACACTTGTACATAAATGTAGATAAGAAAATGAGCTTTAAAATGATATACAGCTTTTGGGGTTTGGTGTTCAAAATGCATCTGCTATTGCCAGCAGAACATTTAAAAACATAAAAACGGCTCGTGTAAAGAGGTTAAGAAGCATTGCAGGTATTTATATAGTATATTTGTGTGCTCTTACTACTGTCCTGTATGTGTGCAGCAAAATTGAAATTACCCCATTGCAAAAGATTCTCTTCTCCGATGGTACTACAGACAGGTTTTCCTGGTCCTGCGCTTCCTCCTCTGGTCTCTGGCACCCCCTGTGTGACCCTGATGGTACTACAGACAGGCTGACCTGGTCCTGCTCTCCTCTGCCTCCACCTGTGTGATCCTGATGGTACTACAGAAGGCTCACCTGGTCCTGCGCTCCCTCCTCTGCTCTCTGGCACCCCCGGTGTTGCCTCCTCGCCCACTGGTGCGTGTGTTGTTGCGGATGTCGTAGCCGTACATGGAGATGAGCTCCTCACGGCTCTTTGGCGCCTGCTCTTCCTCTCGGAACTTGTCATGTTCCCAGCGGCCCTCGTCCTTCCACAGCCTCCGGTTCCTGCCTTTGGGCCTGGGACAAACAGAGTTCAGTACCCTCTTGAGTCGCTCCTCTCCTCCTCCTTCCCCCTCCTCACCTCTCCTCCTCCTGAGTCGCTCCTCTCAGGTCATGCTCAAAGAAAAGTCCTCTTCGTGGGATGTAGGCTGGGTTCTTTCGGTCCTCGTCGTCGTCCAGCTTTTGTTTTCCTCCAAGTTTGGTCTCAGGATGTTCTGTGGACTCCTGGAGGAGAAGGGAGGACCAAGAGAAGGTGGGGGGGGAGAGAAAAGAAAAGAGAACACAGTTTAAGATCATACCAACTGTAACAATGTCAGATTCAAATCATTATAAATCAAATCCATCGCATCCAACCACCCCACTCTCACCCGCTCACCTCCTTCTCATACTGGCCCCCCCTTTCACCCGGAAAACCCCGTTAAGCCGCCCTCTCACCCTGCCACCTGTCTCCCCCCTCACCTTACCTGTCTCTCCCCCCTCCTCACCTGTCCATCTCCGCTCTGTCTTTCCCCTGTCACATTGTTCTTTTCTTTCGTATCATCTCTGGACTGGTCTTCATCTCGAGTGGGAGAGTCTTGTGTGGGAGAGTCTTGTGTGGCTGTGTCTTCAGTGGGCAGGGCTTCAGAGGGCGGGGCCTCAGTGGGCGGAGTTTTGATCACTTCCTGTTCGGTGGTGGTTTCCTCCGTGAATGCCTCCTCTTCCTCTGCTCCCTGAAACACACGTGCAAAGGTTCTAGTCTGAAAAAACAAGATGAATGTTAATCTCTGTACGTGTTTGAGTGTGCGTTACCTCTGAATGAGAACCGTTCTCTGCATCTGCACTGTCGTAGTCGGACAAAACAGCTGGAAATGAAAAACTGTTTAAGTATCAGGATAAAGGGAGAGTGGAGGGGAAGAGGAACAGGACGAGGTGAGGAGGAGAGGTGAAGAGGAGGTCAAGAGGAGCAGGAGGATATGAAGGTAAAGAGATGGTGAAGGTAAAGGAGCAGCAGTGTCTCACCTTCTCCCACTCCATCTTCACTCTCCTGTAACAGAAAAGACCATTATAGTCCAAGGGACAACACAAAGCAATAAACCAAGGTGACATTTTTATTTGAAAATCAAGTGTTTTAATTGGTATTTTTAAGTAAAGCCTGGAAGAAGCGGCAGACTCATTTATTGTAATGAGCATTTGTGTTTGATATTGTTTATGTGCCTGATGTTGGCCTGGTCTCTGTATTTGTGTTGATGTGTCTTGTAAGCCCATGTGGGCTGGGTATTATTGTATGCAAGACACCATCCATCAATTTTCTACCCTTTAATCCATTTCTGGGTCAGGGGGGTGGCAGTCAGAGATGCCACCCAAGTCTCATAGCACCAGCCCCTCACTGACCCTCTGCAGGTGGTGAGTCCACAGGAGGACGGCTGCTCTCTGAGTGTGAGCATGGCCTTGATCTTTCCTCGCATGACATACGTGCAGCAACCAATCATAGAATAGAGCAGCAAATGGTCACGGGGGGGGGCACAAGCTGGTCAGGGCAGGACGACAAAGACACTCAAAAACAACCAAAACGACCTAAACCTGTACTTAACCAGGATGGAAAATGGGGGACAGTGCTTCACCCAGAGTTAACACTCTGCCGTGACTGGATACAAGTGCTGCTAACGTGATCGCTGATGAGGAAGTACCAGTTCAGCTCCGTGAGCAAATACTCCTTTAATCTGACATCTAGAGACCCGCAAAGTGAAACTCATGTTGAAGTTTAGCTTGCCCTGCGTGCTGTGGCATCGTAGAAGTTGGATACTAAACTCACGTATGAACGTGTGTCCAAGACTCCCAAACGTTGTGACAGCGGTGGGAACGCTCGCTAATGATTCTTGTGTCTAGACTAGAGCTGCAGCTATCAAATATTTTAGTAACAGAGTATTCTACTGAATGTCCCGATCAATTAGAGTAATTGAATAATATAATAGTTTGAGGCTTAATAATACACATACAATATCAAGCAACAAACAAATCTCTAAAGTATAGCATTTTCTAAGATGGGAGTTAAAATTAAAGCTATTATATAACTATATACAAGTGCACTCGGTGCACACAATATACAATGTACATTAAGCAGTGCAGTAAAGTGGCTTTATAAAGGGCGGGGACAGGGTCATGAAGTGTTCAAGAGTCCAGCAGCAGAGGGGAAGAAACTGTTCTTTTGCCGGGAGGTTCCGTTCCTAATGGACTGTAGTCTGCTGCCTGAGGGAAGAGGTTGGAACAGGTCATGTGCGGGGTCGGCTGTGATACGACCAGCCCGGCCTTAAGCTTGGGCGTCGTAGAGGTCCTGCAACGATGGGACTGGAACTCAGGGAAACAGGCTGTAGCTCAGTGATGTGCTTAACGTCTCAGGGCTTGAAGCATGTGCCGCGTAATCTTTTTTTTTTAAATCAGAATCATTTTTATTGCCACGTAAGTAACAGGAGGTCACAGACTTGGAAATTGCTTTGGCTCAGTGCAACAGTCAGAAAGAGATAATAAAAATAAGAATAAAAAACACTTCTAAAGAATTAATTGTGTGCAGCGGGCCACATCACCAATAAAGTGTGCGTTGGTGATGTCCGAAGACTTGCAAAGCGGCCGCAGGTTGCTTTGTGGTATGCGGCTGTACCGATCTGTCTGTGTGGGTATGTGTGTCTGCGTGATGTGGAGAAGTCCTGTACTTAAATATAGCTAACTTTCTCCATATAAAATATAATTTAAAATGTTTTTCTAAAATAAATCCTCCGTTCTGAGAAATGTTTTTTTGTGTTTAATTAATCCACCTTAATTGGAGTTTCTCCTCAATGCAACACTTTTTTCATAAAACGGCATTGCTTCAGATGCTTAATATTGTATCAACTAGGGCTGGGGGATATAAACGGTATAAGCGGCATGCCATAAAAATGTGGCCAACAATAGATTTTTTTATACCGGCATATTGCGATAGGTAATTATGTCATCAAATAGCACGGGGCCCAGTGGAGTCCCTATACTCCATGCTAGGTACTGTTTGGCCCTGGTGGGATTTGGCTAAAGCTAGCGCAGGCTCTGACGCCAAGAGAAAGCACCAAAACAACCGGCATTAGCCCAGATCTCATCCATGGGCTTAATGTTGACAAGCCCCAGCGTGGCCCGCTGCATCATCACGGCAGAAGTCTGGTAAAATTTGCGTCAGATTCGGACTTTCGCAGTCAAAAGATCACGAAAGCTACTTTGTTAAACAAAAGTAATTGTGCCAAAATGATCACATTTAAATCGATTGGATTTGAACAATGCGCTGTTTTAATGCAGAGAAATCCATTGCTGCTAGCGCTGAGAAAAGCGCTTAGGGAGCGTCAACAAATGTCAAGACCAGCTTTGTAAACGAACAAATTGCTTTTACGTGATGCTATGTACACGCACAAGACTCTCAGACACTAAAAATATTGACCATATCTAACTGCTTCAAACTTTGATTTCAATATTTGATAGTTTTTTACATTTTAAATGAATACATACGTTTTTATTTTTAGGCCTGAGCCCCGAACGAGAAAAGGGCCTATTGTTTTTGCTCGAGAGATGTCAAATTCTGCACTTTGAGCCTTAATTTGACCCCTGAACATTCATGAAAAGTTGTAAAATTTTGGCCAAACATCAGACCTGGTGAAAAATGTGATATTTTGTTGTTTATTTTTATGGGACTAAAAAAATGCCAGAACAGCGCCACCTGCAACAGCCAATGGGAGTTTCAGAGGTCAAGGTTGTCGTAGAGCCATGAAATTCGGTACACATGTTCCTCAAGTCAAGACATGTTATTACGGCCCCGCTCTCTGACAAACAGGAAGCCCATAAATTTCACTGCAAAATGGAAAAATGAGCAGCAATAACTTTCATACATGTCGGTTGGAAAGCGGCGACTCCTCAGCCGTTTCACCGATTCGCCTCAAAAACGCTCCACATGATCTCAACACATGTACCATCAAAATTAATTCAGGGATTTTTGATCAGTGAAACGTTTGAGCAGCGGCACGGCAAAATGTGAGTTTTTATTGGCCGTTTTTGACAACATTCTATTTGCACAAAACTTGAATCCATGGTTCAACTCTAGGGTCTAGGTCATTTGAAAGTGAAATAATTGAACTTGGCTCATTGACGCATTAAAAGTTGTGTGTGAACGCTTAACAAAATCAAAAGAAAAATGCAGGAGTAAGCAAACATTGCAAAGTGGGAGAGGGATTTTTAGCATAATAAAGAACCACATAAAATACTGTATATCCTAGTGCACGAAATAGTAGTAGTAAGTAATCTTTATTTATATACCGCCTTTTCACTGTAGATCTGAGTCTCAAAGCGGTTTACAATTGTTAATTTTTGGGCATTTGTCTCTCACTCCACACAGAGATGGGAGCGGGGTCGCCAGTGCAGGAGGCGCATGCCAGAACTATTGGACATATTTTTAGTGGTAGGGGAAACCGGAGTACCCGGAGGAAACCTACGCAGACACGGGGAGAACATGCAAACTCCACTCAGAAAGGCCCTGGTCCGACTGGGATTCGAACCCAGGACCTTCTTGCTGAGAGGCGAGAGTGCTATCCACTCAGCCACCGTGCCGCGGTGGCTGAGAACGTGAAATAAAATTAGTAAGTGGTTTGTCATTTGATAATGTATTTAGAATTATGCAAAAAAATTAATTCCATAACTCGCAAGGGCTATTCATTCACTCCATACGCGGTAGAGATAAACTACTACTGTAGCCACAGCTGCCCTGGGGCACACAGAAGCGAGGCAACCAGTCTGTGCCATCGGCCCCTCAAATCACCAACCATTAGTGCAAACACCAGGTGCCCCACTGTGGCTGGTTTTCCCAGAGGTCTCCCATCACAGTACAATCAATCAATCATCACCACCCCAACAACGCTGGAGATACTTACTGTAACATTCGCACGAGGCCTTTGAACACTGAGGTGGACAAAGTTCAGCCTCAGATGAAAAGTAATTTAGGACCTGTGGAGATCTTGCTGTGTCACCCCTACGTGTTATGGGGCCACCTGCCGGCTAATGGGGCTTTCAGACCGAAAACGCTGAAACGCGGAAGCCCCGCTCACCAGACGCGCATTCTCTAGTTTTCAGACGCAGAGGACTTCACACCAGAACGTCCTGACGCGAGCCGGAAGTACCGGAAGTAGCCGGCCAGCTCTGATGCTAACAGAGCTATGCTAGCGGCTTCTTGTGTACAGATCTTCTCCAATATGCAGCTTTGCAGCGTGTCTTTGCTCACAGACATTCCACGGGCTTTATATAACAGTAGTATGTGTTCACGGAGGTGCGCCATGCGGTTTTCATATTATTAAACGGAATTTCCGCATCGGCGAACACACTTGAAGCAGTTGCATAAGGTCACGGGAGCATGACAACGCATATTTTCACAAGCACAGAGTCCCCCATTGTCAGCCCTGGTTTGAGTTCTGGTGAAGCCTGGTGTGGGTCCTGTTTTGGCTGTTTATGAGTATTTTCAGTCTGCTCGCTCAGTCCGCTAATGTCCCCGTGACCACTTTGCTGCTCTCTGATTGGTTGTCGCACGAACGTCGCAAGGAAAGGATGAGCAGAATCCATCTCCTGTGGGCGTTGATTTTTCGCTCCTGCTCCTCCCTTTTCACTTTCCCGCCAAGTCCGTGCGTCATTATTGAACAGTCCGTTCGTGCGAACCGAGCGGTCTGTGCGTTGTGACGGTCGAACGCGCGCCACCATAGACTTTGCATTGAACGCAGACGCAACGACTGTCCCGGTCTGAAAGCACCATAAGACCCTTTCCGATCGCAGAAGCTAAGCAGGGACTGGTTAGTACTGTGATGGTTACACACACTAGTGTTTGACTGTCATGAAAGGCTTTATACAAGTATGTAAATAGAATGCCTTAATATCCATCAGTTGTTTCCACTTTATCTGTTGACAGCTCACGGGGCGGCAGTCACCACACTTACACACTTCCTCCAGCTCATCTGAGGAAATCCTGAGTCGTTCCCAGGCCAGCTGAGAGGCACAGTCCCCCCCAAACGTGTCCAAATGATTAATGTAAGTGAAAGGAGCTCTATAGAGCCAGACCTGAAGTTATGACGAGGGCCACAATGACCACTTGTAAACAGACAACGAGAGAATCTCATAGAACACACAGGCACATCATCTACAACCAGAACTACACCGTCTATTCAGACTGGAGGCCCAGGTTTACCTACCCCCTCCCCCGACGTAAGCCTCAGCAGATCCCCGGGCTATAATGGGTCGGTAACTTCCGTCATTCCGGGCCCTAGCCCGGACCGCGGGTCACACTGTGCTCCGGTAAGCTCCACTCAAACCCCCGGTCTGTTAGCCACATTAGCTCCACTCAAACCCCCGGTCTGTTAGCCACATTAGCTCCACTCAAACCCCCGGTCTGTTAGCCACATTAGCTCCACTCACACACTCGGACTCCTCGGGGCTTTTCTTCCCGGTCACTGCCTCCTGGACTGCGGGCTCTGGTTCTCGCGGTTCCCGGGGCTCTCGCAGCTCTCGTCCCCGGGCCTTGCTGGAGCGTGTGGATCCCGTGGAGGATCCACTGGACTCGGAGCAAGAGTCAGACTCATCGCTGTCCTGAGACGCGCGCCGCCTGCGTCTCCTCCGGTCCGCCATCTTAGACTGAGGAGGAAGCTAGCGCGGGGAACTGTGGGGAGTGTAGTTCTGTGGAGGCGGGAGGCTGCCCCCTCCAGGCCGCCGCACTGTGAATGCATCATGCAAATATAAATGATGGGTCAATTAAAGCTTGGGTATCATACTTGGGTACCTAACTCTTGCTCTCCCAAATAAAAAAAGTTGTTGTAAAATGTTGTGAACAAATCAGGCCAGAAATCTGTAACAGACTTGAGGATAAGACAAAACAGTATGCGCATGCGTGGTCCTCCCTGTCTTGAGAAGCAGTTATTTATCATACATACATTCCACCAGTAGATGTCGCTACTTGTTCACAGTTGTGTTAGTGTTCCTAGTGTATCAGACAGCACTGTACATCAGTTTATCCACCACATGGACAGCCTTTTAATATCAGATCATCTTTTTTCGTCCCACACTGAGGTGGGTGTTGCAGTGCACAGACAGAACAGTAGTAAGAGCACACAAAATATAGTAAGTAATTATTTTTTATTTATATAGCAGCATTCACAATAAGATCAAGGTTTCAGTCTTTTCCACATGAAGTGATGACCGAAGCGAGACGCTGGACCCGCTGATGCATGGACCCTCCGGGTGTCACCTTCTTAAATGTGGCTTTAGGGGCCGGAGTATAGGCCTGTAACACACTATAGGAGCAGATATATAAATATATATCATAGGAAGAATACATAAGCCCCATCTCCACAGGTCCCACATTTCCCTACTCTACTCTACTCAATTTAAATGAAATGTGTATGGCCCTAAATCACAACAGTAGTTATCTCAGAAGTAAGTAATCTTTATTTACATACCGCCTTTCACAGACCAGAGTCACAAAGCGGTTTACATTTGTTATTTTTTGGGTCCTCTCACTCCACACAGCGATGGGAGCAGGGTCGCCAAACAGGAGGCGCATGCCAGACCTATTGTACATATTTTTAGTGGTAGGGGAAACCGGAGTACCCGGAGGAAACCTGCGCAGACACAGGGAGAACTTGCAAACTCCACTCAGACAGGCCCTGGTCCAACCGGGAATTAAACCCAGGACTTTCTTGCTGAGAGGCAAGAAAGCCACCGTGCCGCCCAGAAGATCAGCTGTAGTCTCTGCTTGTCCCTGTCTGTGGCTCCAGCGAACCACACGGTGATGGAGGAGGTGAGGATGGACTCGATGATGGCCGTGTAGAACTGCACCAACATCTGTGCAGGCAGCTTGGCTTTCCTGAGCTGCCTCAGGAAGTACATCCTCTGCTGGGCCTTGTTGGTGAGGGAGCTGATGGTCGGCTCCCACTTGAAATCCTGGGTGAAGGTGGTGCCCAGGAAACAAAAGGACTCCACAGAGGTGATCGGGGAGTCCATCAGGAAGGGCGGGGGCGGGAGAACTGTGCTTTTCCTGAGGTCAAAAATCATCTCACTGTCTTCTGGGCGTTCAGCTCCAGGTTGTTACCACTGCACCAGGACACCAGCCGGTCCACCTCCCTCCTGTAGGCGGACTCATCGTTGTTGGAGATGAGTCCAATGAGGGTGGTGTCGTCCGCAAACTTGATCAGCTTCACGGAGTCGTGGCTGGAGGTGCAGTGGTTGGTGTACAGGGAGAAGAGCAGGGGAGAAAGAACACAGCCCTGTGGGGCTCCTGTATTTATAATCCGAGAGTCCGAGACATTCTTCCCCAGACGCACTCGCTGCTTCCTGTCCGTCAGGAAGTCAGTGATCCACCTGCAGGTGGAATCGGGCACGTTGAGCTGGGAGAGCTTGTCCTGGAGCAGGGATGGCAGGATGGTGTTGAAGGCAGAGCTGAGGTCCACCAGGTGCTGTGGAGGGCCAGATTTATGGAGTTGTCTACAGATCTGTTGGCTCTGTAGGAAAACTGCAGGGGGTCCAGGGGGGGAGGGGGGTGAAGGACTTGAGGTAGGGGAGGACCAGGCGCTGAGACTTCATGACTAAAGATGATGTCAGAGCCATGGGTCTGTAGTCAGTCCAGTGATCCTGGATCTTTTGGCTTCTATGGGGCTTTTTCAAAATGGCAGCCCCTCCCGCAGGAATATGTGAAACAACCATGGATGTATTATATTAACTGGATAGGGTATTTACTAGCTTGTAGCTGAATAACTCATGTGCTCGGGGGATTCTCGCGGTACTGCAGACTGAACCAGACTAAATTCACGTGGGCTACCCAGAAACTTTCCCCATAGGACTCAATGCATATTAAAACAGCTCAACCTCAGCTGACAGAGAACCTACAGCTTTCATAAAGGTCGGATTTTGTGGGGATTTTAGTGATGCTTGTCATCCTGAACTTTTTTTCTTCTTAAATCCTTTGGTTTTGTTTAAATCCACACTTTAGTGCCACAAACTCTGCTCGTCTGGCTCTCGCTCTAACTCCCGCTCTGATGAACTGCTCTGATTGGTCAGCGCGCGGCCGAGCCCCTCTGTGCACGTGCGTGAGACCCGGTGTGAGACCCACACACGCGTGTTTGGCGCAACGCATTATGGGAGATCATCCACTGCACAGAACCGGGAGGACCAGACGATGCCCAAATACAGGCGAGTTTCCCATAGATCTTTGCGAGTTTCAGGCAACTTCCGCTAATCTTTCAGCCCCCATGCCGTCACAAAGCGCCACTGAGCACGACCATTCATTTGAATAGGGTGCCATCTTGGATCGCCGGGGCTTGGAAACAACGCATTTGCACATGCGTTAGCCGGCACTAGCCCCATTCATTTAACAAGTGCCTTCTGAAGTCCACAGAGGCTAAACTAGACTGGTCTAAAAAATATATTCCCCTGGAAACGTAGCTTTGGGCCAAGAGCCGATTTTTAGACCACCCTGTAAAGCCGTTTACGAGAGTAAAGAAGACAAAAGCATTGGATATGGTATCCAATGCTTTGTATTGTGGTGGAGCTCAGCAAAACGCCTCTGGTGGAGCATGTCGGAACTACAAGGATCTGGCTAGAGTCCGGTTACGTTTTTGGTAGGGCTGTCAAAAATTGTGTTAACGCAGGTTAATTTTTATTTTTCATTAATCGCATTGAAAAAATGAATGCATTGATGCATGTACGGAATGACCCACCCATGCATCCCATAATAACACTCAGAATGCCATGGACACGTGCGTCTGTGAGATAGCGACAGAGCAGGTAGGCCCGCTAGGAATTCAAGCTTAAAAAGAATACACGCCAGACTGCGGGGCACTTGTTGTGTTTGCTGTATGAAAACGAAAGTCTGCATCCTCCGCGGCCAAAGTCAGAGCTGCACCCAGCACACTTAACACCAGCCCCTCACTGATCCTCCTGCAAGTGGTGAGTCCACAGGAGCTGAGATCTTTCAGTGGGGGTTTTAGGCAAAGTGGGGTTAAGTGTCTTGGCCAAGGACACAACGACAGCAGTCATCAGTGGGAGTCGTGAAGTAGGTCTTACAGTGGGCTCGAACCCACAACCTTCAGGCCCAAAGGCCAATGCTCTACCAACTGAGCTACTGTTGCCCCATTTTGAAAACATTGGACCAGATCTGGAACATTTACTGATATATCGCTTTGTATTTCTATTGTAAAATGATGACGAAGTTGGAGATACCTGAAAAAATCATGTTTACCAAATTTAAGCACGCGATTTTGGAAACTATCCATTTGTCCTCTCACCACAGTACGGCTCATTGCTGTTATACCCAGTTACGGCCAATTGAATCTATCACACTGGGTAACAAATTTTTTTTTTTTTGAAAATAGTCCAGGGTTTTCCAGCTGAATTAGACTAATGCTAATGTTGATGCTCTGAGTCAGAAAATGACCTTGGTTTTGCTCAATCAGGTCAGGATTTTTTGCTACAGAAATATTTTTTTTTAATCGATTTTGCGTAAAGACTTCTTAATTGGGCTGCAATGTAGTATTGTCTCAGACAGGGGAGTGCCATGCCTCCCCTATCCCTGGGCAGCTGAAGAACAGAGTATTTTATGCGTGGTTTCTTCAATTTCCATATAAACCTGGATGTGCATTTATCCCATTCTCTGAATTATATCAGCGGGATCTCAACTAGTAAAGCATTAAAAAGATATAGACATTTGGGAAAAATTACCATTTTAATTGACCTTATCCTGTCACCAATCTCTATAGGGAGCACAGTCACCTATCAAGGTCTTCTATGACTTGTTTTGCAATATATTGGTAGTTTATGGTAAAAAGCAATGAGAGATCCTTTGGGATAAATACCCCGAGATATCGGATGTGTGACAGGGTCCAATCAAAATCATAGTTACTGACCAAATCTGGGCTGGGAGAATATTTGATTGAAAGTACTTGAGTTTTATTAACATTAAGATAACCAGATAATAACCCAAATGATTTAATTGCACTTTAAATATGCTGGACTCTGGGTTCTGGAGTGTTAGCAACACATCGTCGGCATATAAGCAAATTTTATACCGTACCCCTCATAGTTATTCCTTCCGCCTGTTGGATCATCTGGGCCAGTGGTTCAATAAACAATTTAAACAGAAATGGGCTAAGGGAAGTTTTATTTTGTTTGTTAGATCTCCATTCATTTTGATCCTTGCGGTTGGTGCCGGATATAGGGCCTTTATGCATTGTATGAACTGATCTGCAAAGCCAAAGCGGCTCATTGTTTGGTAGAGGAATTGCCAACTGACTGAATCAAAGGCCTTCTCAGCATCTAAGCTGAGAAGCACTGCTCTGGAATTTGTCTTTGTCATGTTCTCATCCTTGTAACAAACAATAGTTTTGGTCTGAGTCAACTCAGGAAGACATAATGTGGATTTATTGTTATTAAAAACAAATACAGCACATATGTACACTATGTTGTCATTTTGCTTTCCATTCAAACCATATACAGAAAATATGGAATAATTTTGCCAATAGTTAGAAATGCGATTAATTACGATTAATTAATTTTTAAGCTGTAATTAACTTAAAAATTGTAATCGTTTGACAGCCCTAGTTGTTGGTGCAGTCAGAGACACAGACAAAACTAAATGGCGAACTGGAGCCCACTGACTTCAGCTGCCCTGAGGCGCGGAGGATTGGCAGCTTATAAGGGAGGGTCGGGATTGGGAAACGACTGGCCAATAGGAGCCCAGGACTCAGGAGCGTTGTCTTCTGTAAAGGGAGGAAACAAACACACGGCGACACCATGGGAGAAACTAAAGTGATCCCCAAAATAGGGAATTACGGGCCGTAACCAGTTAATTGAGAGTCCAGGCCTACAAGCAGATCTAACAAAACAAAATATTTTGCTGAAATATTACTAATCACATAATACAAAAAAATAACTATTTTAAATTAAAACAATGTGAATTGCCCATGACACTTGAAAAATTAGTACCAAATTCCTTTCAGTCCATGTTCACTCATTAGTCCACTAATCCAAAAACAAACCACTGTCATGTGAGGAAGTGAATGAAGACCCAAAATTGCAGGAATGCCAAAAATAAGGGTTTAATGATTAAAAAAAAAGTCCAGATGAAACCAACTCAAAAACCAAAACAGGACCAGGAACTGGACAGAAACAGACAGACATGAACAAGACAGGACGTTGACAAGACAATGGACCAGCACATGGGGAGAGGAGCACAGGGTACAAATAGACACAGACACAGGTGAAACACATCAGGGCGGGGCAGACAATCAAGACAGAGGAAACAGGACAGGAAGTCAAACTAAAACTAATTCACAGATAAGACGTCAAAATAAAACAAAAATACAAAAATAAAATCCACATCATAAAAACCACATCACTGTTATCTGTGAGCTTCACCCATTGCTTCACCACAGTCTACAGTATGTCCAATGACTGAAGGTCGAGTCTTTTACGAGTGAATGTGAATCTCCTAGTGATGGCAATATGAAGCCCCATGAAGCCTTGAGGGATCGCAGCCTATTACTCGGCCCATGAGTCGAAGGCTCGAGGTGAATCATGCTCCACTACGCCATCATGTGGACAAAGAAATGTAATACATGCCAAGGGCCTATAACAAATGGTAGGGTCTGAACATGGGCTGAAAGAATACAGCCAATGATGTGGAGATAGTTGTTATGTAAAATGTGCTTGTGTTACTTTGTTTATGTAAGTGCTTATGCAACTATTGACAGGAGTTGAAAAACAAACAATACAGTTATTCATTTTTATTCAAAAATAATAATTTTTCAAGAGTATTTGGACTCAGGCGATTTCTTTTTTTGCACAGTATTTCACCTGCCTTTGAAAAAACCCGTTCACAGGGCACAGAGGATGCAGGTGAACATAAATATGTAATGGCAAGTTTATATAAATTTGGAAATGTAAACTTATGTTTGTCCCAATATTGAAGGGGACTTTCTAGTCGAGGAATATTTGGCTCCCCCAGGTATGTTTGGACCTCCACTGTAGCGTTGGCCGTTATGTTTGGGATTTTGGTCTGCTGGCATGTTGTGTCAAAACGTTGCCACAGTTTGCTCCCTAAAACAGAATAAACAGGTTATAAGTGACTTATTAGCACAAATAGAGTATACATATTACCTTCAGCTACAGATGATGATGATGGTGATGATGATGATGGTGATGATGATGATGATGGTGATGATGATGATGAAGCAGAAGCGGACAATGAAAGTCTCAAAACTCGAGCACATTCGCCAATCAATCTTTTTTCAGCTTCTGCTGCCTTATTGGGGTTGAAGAATCCAATCTTTTTAAATCTGGGATCAAGCAAGGTAGAGAGGGACATGATGCTCATTGATTGGAGGTGGCTGAGCTTGTCCCTCAGTTGTCTTCACAAATACTCAGCCATGTCTCTGCTCTCAGGTGTTTGGATATGGCCGATCTCCTCTTCTTCCAGAGCATTATGGAGAATGGTCAAAAGTGGAACTACTTTTGACCCAGAGACTCTTTTCTCCTCGGACACCTCAATTGATAAAAATACCTCAAATAAAATATATTTAGTGTAATTGTAGGACAATCATCAATTATTATCATGATATAAAATGGCCTACCCGAGACAGGTTCACCTGGGTTGGAATCCACATTGCTATGCAAGGCACGATAGTGCCTTAGCATAGCTGAGGTGTTATTATTATAACCCAGTTGTTTGGAGCATAACAGACACTTCACCTGCAATTGAAAAAACTATTATTCAAACGTATTGATAACAGAGAAAAGTGAGCAAGAGAAATTATGTGTTGTCATATTTGTGTAATCTATTATTACAGAATTATTGATATGCCTTACCTTATTAGGTGAGATCTGCTCAAAGTGCTCCCAAACTGGAGAAAATCTTCTCTTTCTTGCCAGTTCCATCGCAAAAAAGAAGCTCAAATAGGATGCCAAATGAGAAGCGCAATAACCCAAAAACACACAAAGTGATGAAGGGGAATCCATTGCGTTCACTCGTCCCTTTTATTTCGAATCGCGCTCCAAACCAACGAATCATTTCCTGAATCAGTCACGTGGTACGGCCGTTCGCGAGGCTTCGAACATCATCATACACGGGACCAATACACGCCTCGACCCACACTTCAAAAGAAACGCCCCCAGATTACTCGGTCCACGCTTCGAAGACTCGGCCCGCTCAGCACATCACTAGAATCTCCATTATAGCAGTCTATAGTGAATGCATTTGTGTTTGAATGCGCTGGAAAACGGTGATGCGCTGATTCTGCAGTGACCTGTCCTGCTCCTCCAGGCGGCTACACCACCTCTGCAGTGACCTGTCCTGCTCCTCCCGGCAGCTACACCACCTCTGCAGTGACCTGTCCTGCTCCTCCCGGCAGCTACACCACCTCTGCAGTGACCTGTCCTGCTCCTCCCGGCAGCTACACCACCTCTGCAGTGACCTGTCCTGCTCCTCCTGGCGGCTACACCATGTATGTAGTCCATACATACCGAATGATTGGGTAGCTGTGGAGCTGAAACCTACGGGATCAGACCTGGATACACTGGAACCAGTTGTGGCGTGGCTGGGTGCTATAGCAGGACGGTGTTCCCAGATTGTCGAAGGTCATTCGGCTCAGCGGGTGTTTCTCTCGTTGAGGCTGCTGGAGCATTGGCTCCTCGGGTCCCTTAGGCACAGCAGGCGGTGGGTGGGCCAGCAGCCGGATCAGCCTCCTCACAAGCTGGCCCCTCAGCAAGTGGCTCAGGTGGGTCCAGGTGGTCTCCACCAGCGGGCTCTGGTAGTACAACAGGAGCTGCTGCTGGTGCTTTCGCTACAGCAGGGCCTTTTGTTTCAGCAGGATCTGATGGCTGGAGCATGGTAGGCTGAGGTGGCACATTGTAAAAGCTGCACATCAGAATCCTCAATGTCTCTAGCAGGTTTGTTCCCCTTTTTCTGTTTTACAGGATTGTCTTTTTCTGGATCTGACTCAAAAGGAAAACAATCACATGACATGAATAAGTTTCTGTGTAGCGCCCGAGGGCAACTTTGTGTGACCACCGAACAGTAGATAAAATGGAGAGTAACCAGTCACTTCACAGCATGTACAATATGACTACATCAGTTTAGATAGATTCCTTCCAGTTCGACTTTTGTGTTTCAGTTAGTGTCTTCAGCATTTGTATCACCTGCGGGGTCTCAACATTTTCAAACAGCCTGCTCCTCCACCTACAGTTCATATTACAGGTGGACTGAGCGAGTGTGACATCATCGTGTGTGACATCACCACAGTGTTAGCCTTAATACAGAAAAGGCCAACTTCGGCATTTGTTTTGACGAAGTTAGCTTCATACTGTAACATGGGCACACATGTTGTTGCAAAAGCAAGCTGGAGTTTCCCCCGTCAATGAAGGCCTCTGATTGGTCAACCCTTGTACGGCTCATAACGGACTAAATGTAACGCCGCATTCAGAATAGTCTTTTTAGTAAATATTCCGTTACAGTTACAAAGGTTATATCTCGAGAGAATGATCCAATAAATGTATTCTAAGTATTTGGAAAACAGTTACTATTTTTTCCAAAGTAACGGAGTACTACACAAAATACATTTCATGTCATTATTCTATACATTTTCAAATATTCTACCCAACACTGGTCATATCTGGATTTACAAGGAAAATATCACAATATAAGCACTAGGATCACAGAGAACACTAAACCGCAGATTTGAGCTCAAAATAGTAAGTTTGACACAAACGGTTACTGAGCTAGAGGAGTTTACTTTTGCCTCTAAGTCGAGAGGAGCCAAAGTGAGTTGGAGCAAAACTTCACCATGAGCACTTCCCAATTGGGCTTCATTGAGCAAGTGGGTTTACATTGAGCTAGCAGGTTAGCATTGTCCAACTGTATACAGACTATAACATATAATATCAGGTATACAATGTAACAGAAATCAGACTCGGACTCGACTTTATGCTCTCCGTGTTTATTCGTGTTTATTCATATTTCTTTGAGGCGCCTTGGCTCTGCCTCCTGATTGGCTGCAGCGGGGCCAGGGGCGGGACTTAGAGGGTGTTCACTGTAGAAGAGGAGGAGCTGGAGACGATACGCCCATCCACCACTTCTTCAACGACCGTAACCACACGTGTTTTTGTGGTGGTGGTGGAGGTGGAGGTGAGGCTGTGGACCAATCAGAGTTCAGGATGAGAGGAGGTCACAACAAAAGGGCCAATCAGAGAGTAAGATGAGAGGAAGTCACAACATAATAGCCAAACAGTGAGCAGGATGAGAGGAAGTCACAACACGGTTAGGGTTAAGGTGGGTCTAAGTAAGATGGTTAAGGTTAGGGTTAAGGTGGTCTGAGTAAGATGGTTAAGGTTAGGGTTAAGGTGGTCTGAGTAAGATGGTTAAGGTTAGGGTTAATGTGGGTCTGAGTAAGATGGTTAAGGTTAGGGTTAATGTGGGTCTGAGTAAGATGGTTAAGGTTAGGGTTAATGTGGGTTTGAGTAAGATGGTTAAGGTTAGGGTTAAGGTGGTCTGAGGAAGATGGTTAAGGTTAGGGTTAAGGTGGTCTGAGGAAGATGGTTAAGGTGGTCTGAGTAAGATGGTTAAGATTAGGGTTAAGGTGGTCTGAGGAAGATGGTTAAGGTTAGGGTTAAGGTGGTCTGAGTAAGATGGTTAAGGTTGGGGTTAAGGTGGTCTGAGGAAGATGGTTAAGGTTAGGGTTAAGGTGGTCTGAGGAAGATGGTTAAGGTTAGGGTTAAGGTGGTCTGAGTAAGATGGTTAAGATTAGGGTTAAGGTGGTCTGAGTAAGATGGTTAAGGTTAGGGTTAAGGTGGTCTGAGTAAGATGGTTAAGTGCCAATCAGTGAGCAGGATGAGAGTACGTTGTGGTGCATGTGTAAGCCACAGGCGGCGGGGCTCGGTGCACACCTCTCTCCCTCCAGCAGGCGGCGGTATTCAGCGATCTCCATCTCCAGTCGGGTCTTGATGTCTAGCAGAGCGCTGTACTCCTGTCCCTGTCGCTCCAGGTCCCCGCGCAAGGCTACGAGCTGCTCCTCCAGAGAGGACACCTGTAACACAGTCACCATGGTAACAGCAGTCACAGAAACAATACAAACATCCTAACAACTTTATCCAGAGGACATCTGGTCCTGGTCATGGTCATGATCCTGATTTCTCACCTGGTTTTGGTATCCATTGAGCTGCATGGAGTATCTGTTCTGTGTCTCAGAAAGTGTCATCTCCAACGACGATTTCTGCAAAATCAGAGTAATCTGTACTATATACTGTATACTACTGTAGTACTGGTACTGCTGTAGTCACAATACACCCAAAATATGACCCACACGTATAATATTACATAAAAATAAGAACATGCCTTTTAAAATAATTTATTTTGAAAACATGTTTAACTGACAGCAGTAATATATACACACATGCACACGCACACAGTATAGTATTAGTACTACAGTAGCTGTAGTAGTAGTAGTTACTATGATATCAAAGTTACGACATTAATAATAATAATAATAATAATATATATATATAATATAATATGCATCGGTTTTATATAGCGCTTTTTTGGACACTCAAAGACGCTTCACATGTGTCATTATTCATTCACTCCATACACGGTGGTGATAAACTACTACTGTAGCCACAGCTGCCCTGGGGCACACTGACAGAAGCAAGGCAACCAGTATGTGCCATCGGCCCCTCTGACCACCACCAACCATTCACACACACACCAGACTCATTCTAGGCAATGGGGGTGAAGTGTCTTGCCTAAGGACACAACGGCAGTTTGGCACTTTACAGCCGCAGCCGCCCCACTGTGGCTGGTGTTCCCAGAGGTTAAGTGTCTTGCCAAGGACACAACGACAGTAGTCAGTGGGAGTCGATGGTGAAAGTCCTGAGCGGGGCTTGAACCCACGACCTTCTGGCTCAAAGGCCAACGCTCTACCAACTGAGCTACTGCCGACATTAGAACTGCAGTACTCACCATACTGAGCATAGACTGTAATTCTATCTCCAGACTCTGCAGGGTGCGTTTGGTCTCGGTGACCTCTGACCTCGTCGTCTGCAGAGTGACCGTCTGTGTGACCACCTCTTTGTTCAGCGCCTCCGTCTGTGGACATACAACCAAGTGATATTTGTACACACATACAACCAGGTGATATTTGTACACACATACAACCAGGTGATATTTGTACACACATACAACCAAGTGATATTTGTACACACATACAACCAGGTGATATTTGTACACACATACAACCAGGTGATATTTGTACACACATACAACCAGGTGATATTTGTACACACATACAACCAGGTGATATTTGTACACACATACATCCAGGTGATATTTGTACACACATACAAGCTGGTGATATTTGTACACACATACAACCAGGTGATATTTGTACACACATACATCCAGGTGATATTTGTACACACATACAACCAAGTGATATTTGTACACACATACAACCAGGTGATATTTGTACACACATACATCCAGGTGATATTTGTACACACATACAAGCTGGTGATATTTGTACACACCTTGGCATTGAACCAGCCCTCCAGGTCCCTCTGGTTCTTTGCTGCCACAGCCTCGTAGTGTTCTCTGATCTCAGACATGACTTTGTTGAGGTCCTCCTGAGGCGCAGCGTCCACCTCCACATGGACCTGACCACTCATCTGGGAGCGCATGGCCAGCAGCTCCTGAAGAGGCACAGAGGTTACATTTGTGCAGACACAGACAAGTTACAAAGGTTACATTTGTGCAGACACAGACAGGTTACAAAGGTTACATTTGTGCAGACACAGACAATGGTCCACATGTTACCTCCTCATGGTTCTTCTTGAGGAAGATGAGTTCCTCCCTCAGTCCTTCAATCTGCATCTCCAGGTCTGAGCGTGTCATGGTGAGCTCGTCCAGGACCCTCTTTAACCCTGTGATGTCGGCCTCCACAGACTGACGCATGTTCAGCTCGTTCTCGTACCTGTGGGAGGGCAGCAGGGTCAGACTGGGCTTGTACTGGGCCCCATAGTTCTATTGTAGAGCTACAGTATACTACTACAGTACTAAAGGATACCTCTGCAATACTGTACTACAGTATACTGCTATAATACTGTACTACAGTATACTACTGTAATACTGTACTACAGTATACACTGTAATACTGTACTACAGTATACACTGTAATACTGTACTACAGTATACTGCTATAATACTGTACTACAGTATACTACTGTAATACTGTACTACAGTATACACTGTAATACTGTACTACAGTATACTGCTATAATACTGTACTACAGTATACACTGTAATACTGTACTACAGTATACTACACACTCTTACTTCATCTTGAAGTCATCCGCAGCGAGCCGGGCGTTGTCAATGCACAGGTGCACGCCGCCGTTGACACGGATGGCGTCTTGGATCTGAGAAACACAACTTAAAGTGAATCCTTTTGGAAAATATTTTCAGTGTTTGTTTAGTATCAGGATCAGTGTTTGATAAGTTACAAATTACTAGTTACTACTAAAGACGTAATTAGTTACATTACTTAATTACTGCCACAAAAAAGTAACAAGTTATATTACTTGGATTTCTTTGTGTCACAAAAAAGCCAACAGAAACCAGTTTCTAAATAATCATTACACCTTTATTAGTCATTTAAATAAAGGTCAACTACAAGTAAGTTGCTCAAAATTTTCTTAACATTAACATGAAAGTAAACTACTGTAGCAGCCAGGACTGAGAGTTCACACATGTTTTTCTCTCATTTGTACAGTCCAATTTATCGGCAGTTGTAATTTTTGTAAAATGTTTCTGAAAGACGCCTCCTCTACAGTAATGTGCAGCATCTCTTCTACAACTTTTGTATTTTGGTTACATCCAACACTGATTCTGACACAGAACCAGATTTTAGTAACACCAGCAGTTGGACTTGTAAGAGAAGTAGCAGCAGTGGCAGCAGCAGTAACAGCAGTCCTCTTACCTTTGCGGTGATGTCGCTGATGGTCAGGTAGTGGGCAGCATAGTCCCGGGTCTGGGGTCCCACTCGGCTCTCAATGTATTGGCGGATCTTCAGCTCAAGTTCATTGTTGGATTTCTCCAGAGCATTGACTTTGCTCAGGTACGTGGCCAGCCGGTTGTTCAGGGACTGCATCTGGAACTTCTCATTACCAATCAGGCTGGAACATAACACACAGAAGGGACACCCATAAGAGACCAGAGAGAGAATTATACAAGTGAGAGAGACCAAAAAGAGAGATCAGATGGGGAAACTAGAGAGGGACCAGAGAGAGTCTAGAGAGAGACCAGTGACCATATCGCTGCAGAAGCAGCAAAGGTCTGAGTACAAATGAACTCACTTGTCATCGCCTCCTGCACTGGTGAAGTTCATGGCTCCTGCAGACATTCCTCCACTCACGGAGGAGATGCGGATCCCAGAGCCTCCTGCACCTCCATACACGCTCCCGGAGGAGCGCAACATGGAGGAAGCGGAGCCTAACAGCGAGCCGCCTGAGGAGCGCACGGAACGAGACGAGCGGTAGGATACGGTTGCCATGGAGACGAGTTGAGGCGAGCTGAGGCGAGCTGAGGAGGGACCCAGATGAGGAGAGTGAAGATGGCACGAAGAGACGGGAACTTATATACACCTGACCTGCCCCCCCCCCCCCCCCCCCCCCCCCCCCCCCCCCCCCCCCCCCCCCCCGCCCGCTGGCGCCCCAGCCCACCCACAGATCACCTTTCCACGCCCCCTCCACACACAGGTGTAACTGCTCAGACCGGTGTGAGAGAAAGTGCCTTTCACTCACACACGCACACACACGCACGCACACACACAAACACACACATTCCTTTTAAAAGACCTACATGTTTTATAACATGTAGGTCTGACTGCCACCCCCCCATCCCAGAAATGGATTAAAGGGAAGAAGAGCCTGAGGAACTTTCTGAGGACCTGCTGGTCTCTCTGACTGGCCACAGTTCTCTTTTCAGTCTTTCTCTGGTCCCTCTCTGGTCTCTCTGATGGTTGTTGTGAACAGGGTTAAACCTAATAGATCCATGGGTTAAACACACAGCACGTCCCTGCCCCAGAATGCAGCTGCTCTGGTCCTACTGGTCCCAATAAGACGCCACATCCATCACAGGTGTCAGGCTCGCAGGCACAAAGGCATATGTCTGTCAGCCCCTGTCACTCTGTGTAAACGCTGATAACAGTCACAAAAAGATTCTTTGGAAACACTTCAGTGAACACAACCATCCAGTTTAACCCGCCTTCATCCCTCAGTACTGCGGTACTACTGCAGTAACAATACACTTCTACAGTACTACTGCACAGTACTACTGCAGTAACAATACACTTCTACAGTACTACTGCACAGTACTACTGCAGTAACAATACACTTCTACAGTACTACTGCAGTAACAATACACTTCTACAGTACTACTGCACAGTACTACTGCACAGTACTACTGCAGTAACAACACACTTCTACAGTACTATTGCAGTAACAATACACGTCTACAGTACTACTGCAGTAACAATACACGTCTACAGTACTACTGCAGTAACAATACACGTCTACAGTACTACTGCAGTGTTATTTATTGTTTATTGGGGATCGCCATTAGCTTCCTGGGGCAATAGAGGCTCAGTTGATAGAGCATTGGCCTTTGAGCCTGAAGGTTGTGGGTTCGAGCCCACGCGAGACATTCTCCACCGACTCCACTAATGTCTGCTGTTGCTGTGTCCTTGGAAAAAACATTTAACCCACGTTGTCCTATAAGGAGCGCAGAAGTAATGTTCGCTGCATGCCTTGACGTGTATTTGTGTTTATGTATTCATCAAACTGAAGTTTCTCCTTTTGGGACGAATAAAGGACCTTCTTCTTCTCTTCTCCCAATGTAGTTGCTAATCTTCCCAGGATCCCAGTTGAGACAAATGTGCTATACAATAAAATAAAACAATACATTAATCAATTAATTGCCATTATAATAAAAGGCATAGATCAAATGCTGAGTCAATGTAAGTAAACAACAGACGTGAAGCCGTGCATTTTACTGATGCATTGCAAATATGATTTTTGAGTTTTCCTTCAAAAACATGTGAAGAAGATTGATCCCTCATATCCCTAGGCAGCCCATTCCAAGGTTGAGCTGCTCTGAAAATAACAGTCTTTTGCAATGATTTTGTTCTGGGCCGATGGCGGCCAAGTCAGCATAATGAGTCTGTCTAGTAGAATGGGAGTGAACCTGATGTACATATGTGATTTTTTTCAGACAATTAGCTTACCAGTCAAATTACCTTTTTCAGAAATATTAAAAGGTCATACTATTCCTTATTGTGAACCATAAGCCAAGATAAAATGTTATGCATTTTGTTTGTACTGGCAAAATATGAACAATTTAGAACCAGTCTTGGTATGCAATGTAGTGATGTCTGTATTACATGCAGCAGACCATATAATGGAGTAGTGTTCAAGAGTAGATCAAACAAGGGATTGAACAACCTGCTTTAAAATTGCTGTAGTTACAAAATAAGAACAGCTTCTCACCAAACCAATAGCTTACCCATCTTCGACAATGAGAGATGGGGATCCACTATAACACCTAAAAGTTTAATTTACTCGACCTGTTCTAATTCAGCTCCCTCCATGGTCAACATCAATCGACACTTTTCATGTAGACGTGTTTACTTCCAAAATCTTGTTTTAGAAATATTTTAAATCATGTTGTTGCTTTTAACCCACTTGAGGACCTCAGACAAATCATCTTCCAATACATTTAACATTTCATTCACAACCAGACTTGCAATAATACATGGTCTAGTTGTCAGCATTTGTTTGATACATGAGGTAAATCATTAGTGTAAACAGAGAAGATGAGTGGGCTGAGGCAACTGCCCTGAGCTAAGCCACAGTGAATATCAGATCCCTCAGACAGTGAACCATTACAATAATTTAAAAAAAATAAAAAAAATGCACCAGTTTTATATAACGCTTTTTTGGACACTCAAAGACACTTTACATCAATTATTCATTCACTCCAAACACAGTGGTGATAAACTACTACTGTAGCCACAGCTGCCCTGGGGCACACTGAGCAAGGCAACCAGTCTGTGCCATCGGCCCCTCCCACCACCACCACCACCACCAACCATTCACACACACACCAGACTCATTCTAGGCAATGGGGGTGAAGTGTCTTGCCTAAGGACACAACAGCAGTTTGGCACTTTACAGCCGCCCCACTGTGGCACCTGCTGTTCTTAGAGGTTAGGCGTCTTGCCAAGGGCTCGAACCCACGACCTTCAGGCTCAAAGGCCAATGCTCTACCAACTGAGCTACTGTCGCATCAATAATAATCATAGACCTGCTGACTCCAGGCAGTTAGATAATCCTTTATCAGAAACAAGGATCTTGTTGAAAATCCACAGCACCTTAACTCGACAATTAGAAGATCATGATTAATAAGATCAGAGGCTGCACTAAAGTCTCAAAATATAGTCCAAACTAAACCACCTTTATCTTATTCCTGGTACCAGTTGTCAATCATATTTACCAAAGCAGAAGTAATGGAATGATTTGGTTTATATATGTGTGCTGGAACTTAGTTAGCAGGCTGCAGCCAACAAAATATTGTTTTATTTGATTACATATTAAAGGGGACATATCATGAAAAATCCACTTTTTGTGCCTTAAATGCCTTATGTTGTGTAGTTGGAGCCTCTAGAAGTGCAAAAAAGTTGAAATCAGTCTCTTCATGGGTTGCAGAGAACACTTCATATTCTGTTTAGGTAAGATTTTTCAACCCGTTCTGATTTTGCCATTCTCTATTACGTGTTTAGAATTATTACGTCACAGTATTTGCAGCGAGACTGCTATATAAGGGCATGGGCGTCTAACAAAACACTTCGGCCCAGCCCTCCTCTACTGTGCATCACTTCGAATTTGTAGTCCAAGCTCAAGGATGCCAGCGAACAGGGCTGGACTGGCCATCGGGCGTACCGGGCAATGCCCAAAGGGCCGATGCCCATATTTGGGCCGGTCTGTCTGCCTCATACAAAACACATGTTTATGAGAAGTGTAAATCCGTTGAGAATTGTTCGAGCGGGGCGCGCGTATCCGCGGGTATGTACTCGAACGGGATTCCGCCACCTCAGCGGCGTCCAGTTCCGGGGCATCTGCGGCGCTTTGTAATGAGCAGCTTCCGCGTCCAGCGGCTGTCCCAGCCGCTCGCAGCCGCTCCACCGGTTGTGGCTGAGCGCGCAGCCTCAACGTGGCCATGTACCCAACCCCATAAACGCGCACAGGACCATGCGTGTCTTTGAGTAATCTGTGCACCCAATAAATACACTGCTGCAGGAAACAGTCCGCGTCTCCCCTCTCTCTCTCGAAGCGCGATTAAACGCCCTAAATAAAGCTCTGATACCTACATTTTGCATTGCATTAAAAGTTCATGTTTGAGCCCAAAAGTAATATGTTGTGAACAAATTAAACAGATTTAGAGCCAGCAAATGGCTGACAATATGCATTTCAGTCTTTTTTGACCAATTCTCATCCCTGTAACAAACAATAGTGTTGTCTGTGTCCACCTCCTTCACCTCTGAGACATGTTTATTACTCTCTTGTAATGTAGACTATTGCATTTTATTTTATTGTTGAAACTGCACATATCCTGATCCTCTACAGTATTTGCTTCCACATACTGTATAAACTAGGAGTCGGCAACCTGCGGCTCCGGAGGCGCATGCGTCTCTTTCCTTCTGTAGAAGGAAAAACGTTCTTAACGTTTTTAAATGCTGTAAAATTGTGCATAAGTAATATTCAATTTAAACATTTCTGTCAACGTAGTGCGTCATATCCTGCGACGTAGGCCCGCGCCAGGCGGCCGCTGTTGTAAACAAACCGGCGTGTGAGCATCATAGACTGTGCGCATGGATCCCAAAGCTAAAAAGAGAAGAGTCGATAATAAGACTGGACTAAGAATGAAAATTAACATTTGCTTTCAGTCAATGAGGAAGGCCTGCTTCATGTTTGCGATGTAATGAGAAGTTTCTATGAGATAATTGTATCTGTGCTTAGAAACTACAAAAATGGCCGCTCGGGGTGGAGTTGAACCTGTGTCACCTGGATGGGGGCGTGGTCAAAAGCGCCTCATTTGCATTTAAAGAGACAATACCAAAACAGGTTTCTCTCAGACGCACCTCAGAACAGGTGTAGAAGAAAGGCCCGTGGAGCTACAAATAATGAGACTCAGACCCAGGCATTGCAGTTATGCTATATATAGGCCACAAATTAATGATTTAGATGTAAAAATCAATTATTTGAAAACACGATATGTCCACTTTAAAGTCTCCATAATTTTCCCTAACACGGTGGTATGCTTATGGGCCCTCTGTTCACCTCGTTGAATAACATATTTTTATTTTGTGGTATAGGGAAAGTCAAGACTCCATTCATTAAACATCTATTAAAGATGCAGTAAGTGATTTTGTTAGTTTAGCCGTAGCACCCACTGGAAACCCCTCGCCTCTTCACCAAACCAAACATCCAGCATTTTCTTTTCTTTGTCACAACAGGGAGAGTTATGTAAGTAATTCCATTACTATTTGAAAACACATGATAACTTGACTACTTTAGGGTTTAGGGACGTTTTCCAACAATATTTAAAAAAACGTGTCTGGAAAAAATCACTGACTGCGTCTTTAAATATGTGGCACAGACTTTGCAGCTCGCTTCAAAACTCTATATTATCAATTTTATATTATCAATCAATTATCTCAAGGTCAGATGAAAAGTCATCAACATTGAACTTGTTAAAAGCCCTTTTATAAAAATCTTAGGTACAGATTTAGTTGGTTTCATTCTCCTGTTCACAGCCACAAGATGGTGATCACTAAAACCAACATGTATCGAAAAGACATCGATACAGAATTTATGTAAGTTTGTATAAATGTGATCAATACAAGTGGCAGCATCAGTTTTCACTCATGTCGGAACCAAGATGAATTGGTTTAAATTTCACGTGAGCATAATGAAAACATTCTCTTCCTCACTGAGCATTTGGTATCCAGCCAGTTCATGTTCATATCTCCAAATAAAAATAATTGTTTTCCTGAGATACTGTACTCATCATTTCACAAATGTATGAAAGACATTTGAATTGGGGGGTCCATAGATACACCCCACTAATATTGGTTTTCCAGAGAGGCTGTATCTGAACCTGTGGTTTGTTGTGTTGGATCAAGGCGTAGTTTAGCACGAACATTGTCCTTTGTACAAACAACGCCTCCTCCAAAGGTCTTTCCTGTGCAACGTAAAACCATCAATTCTAAGTACACTGTTGTCAAACGAACAGTCTAGAAATGTTTCAGAAAGTGTGAGTATACACAAACTGTTTGTTAATAGTACAGATTCAATCTCATGGACTTCGTTTCTTACTTAGACTACAAATATTATATATACAGTGCCTTGCGAAAGTATTCGGCCCCCTTGAACCTTTCAACATTTCGCCACATTTCAGTCTTCAAACATAAAGATATAAAAAAAATGTTTTGTCAAGAATCAACAACAAGTGGGACACAATCGTGAAGTGGAACGAAATGTATTGGATAATTTAAACTTTTTTAACAAATAAAAAACTGAAAAGTGGGGGGTGCAATATTATTCGGCCCCCTTGCGCTTATACTTTGTAGCGCCACCTTTTGCTGCAATTACAGCTGCAAGTCGCTTGGGGTATGTTTCTATCAGTTTTGCCCATCGAGAGACTGGAATTCTTGCCCATTCTTCCTTGCAAAACAGCTCGAGCTCAGTGAGGTTGGATGGAGAGCGTTTGTGAACAGCAGTCTTCAGCTCTTTCCACAGATTCTCGATTGGATTCAGGTCTGGACTTTGACTTGGCCATTCTAACACCTGGATACGTCTATTTGTGAACCATTCCATTGTAGATTTGGCTTTATGTTTTGGATCATTGTCCTGTTGGAAGATAAATCTCCGTCCCAGTCTCAGGTCTTTTGCAGACTCCAACAGGTTTTCTTCCAGAATGGTCCTGTATTTGGCTCCATCCATCTTCCCATCAATGTTAGCCATCTTCCCTGTCCCTGCTGAAGAAAAGCAGGCCCAAAGCATGATGCTGCCACCACCATGTTTGACAGTGGGGATGGTGTGTTCAGGGTGATGAGCTGTGTTGCTTTTACGACAAACATATCGTTTTGCATTGTGGCCAAAAAGTTCTATTTTGGTTTCATCTGACCAGAGCACCTTCTTCCACATGTTTGGTGTGTCTCCCAGGTGGCTTGTGGCAAACTTGAAACAAGACTTTTTATGGATATCTTTGAGAAATGGCCACTCTTCCATAAAGGCCAGATTTGTGCAGTGCACGACTGATTGTTGTCCTATGGACAGACTCTCCCACCTCAGCTGTAGTTATCTGCAGTTCATCCAGAGTGATCATGGGCCTCTTGGCTGCATCTCTGATCAGTCTTCTCCTTGTTTGAGATGAAAGTTTGGAGGGACGGCCGGGTCTTGGTAGATTTGCAGTGGTCTGATACTCCTTCCATTTCAATATAATTGCTTGCACAGTGCTCCTTGAAATGTTTAAAGCTTGGGAAATCTTTTTGTATCCAAATCCGGCTTTAAACTTCTCCACAACAGTATCTCGGACCTGCCTGGTGTGTTCCTTTGTCTTCATGGTTCTCTCTGCGCTTTAAACAGAACCCTGAGACTATCAAAGAGCAGGTGCTTTTATACGGAGACTTGATTACACACAGGTGCATTCTATTTATCATCATCAGTCATTTAGGACAACATTGGATCATTCAAAGATCCTCACTGAACTTCTGGACTGAGTTTGCTGCACTGAAAGTAAAGGGGCCAAATAATATTGCACGCCCCACTTTACAGTTTTTTATTTGTTAAATTTTTTTTAATTATCCAACAAATTTTGTTCCACTTCACGATTGTGCCCCACTTGTTGTTGATTCTTGACAAAAAATAAAAAATGTTTTATCTTTATTTTTGAAGCCTGAAATGTGGCGAAATGTTGAAAGGTTCAAGGGGGCCGAATACTTTCGCAAGGCACTGTATACGTGGGCAATAGAGAACACTTTAGAGGGTTATCCAGGTATATGTATCATCATGTAAACAGGTTATAGACAGTTCAAATCAATCATTCCAGTCCAAGCCATCGATGTACCTACACAGGTGGCGGCCTTGCTAATCCTCATTGATATAAACATTGGTACCGTTGCGAGGATGCATTGTCTGTCTTTATAACGTTGCAGTCTAATTAAGATCGGCCGTCGCCTGCCCTGGTCTCTGTATTTTCTAAGACGAGAAACACCATCCATCGTCATCACTGTCCAGGCCCGACTTTGTTGTAATTAGTTCCCGGATCTTGGATTCCAAAGCCTTGGGTTTCTCCTCCTGTTCATTAGTGATCCCATCCACAACAATGTTATTTCCTCGAGTGTGATTGTCGAAATACTCCAACCTCACCTTGACTTCATGCAAGTCTTTCTCTATGCTATCCAGTCTTTTATTTGCGTTGTCCATCATCATTTGGACAAATTACTTGAAATGATCTTTCTGTTGCTTAATCAAATCTTTGTAGAGGTCTTTTGCTGTTCGAGCACAGCAGTCAGCATGCTCACGCTAACAGTCCTCCTCTGCTGGTTTAGATTTTGTAGGCATAATCGGTGTCCTCAGCTCCAGACCACCAAACAAAGCACGAGAAATGTTGTTAAGATGTGGTAGACCCCGGCAGATCAATGCATGATGGTTGCAGAAGGGGAAATAGAAATGTGGATGATTACATGAAACCCCCCGGGCCTAGACCCTGGAGGTGGGAGCTAGAAGAGGAGTGAAAGAGCTGGTCCATGCGATGAGATGGTGATGGGGAGGGTTGCTGCATGGATGAAAGCTGTTTTTTCTGCACAATATGAAGGCTTGATGCAGGGTTGATGCAATGTTCAAAATTTACTATTTTTCAATGTACTTCGGCCATCTTCTATCAGAAAGGAGAAAAATGGAGGCTACTGTTGGCAGATGTTTTTTTTTTTTCGGCTGATCTCGCTGTGGGATAGTATAAAAACAAAACACAATTTAATTTTGAGTTAAAATGCAATGCAACAAACGTCACTGACCTTTGTACCGAGCAAAAGATTTTTTTTTTACTGCTTAACATTAACCGAGGGAAAAAAGCAACACCATCCATCCATTTCCTACCCCTTAATCCGTTTCTGGGTTCGGGGGGTGGCCAGAGATGCCACACAGTACACATAGCTCCAGCCCCTCACTGATCCTCCTGCAGGTGGTGAGTCCACAGGAGCCTTGGACTTTCAGCTGGGGCTTCAGGCAAAATGGGGTTAAATGTTTAGCCCATGGACACGACGACACTACAACAGTACTTCAGCTGTACTACTACAGTACTACAGCACTACTGCAGTACCACAGTGCTGAGGTACTACTACAGTACTTCTGCAGTACTTGCAGTACTTAAAGGCAGGTGTGTGGGTCAGCTCTAGAGTCAGCTCTAAGGTCAGCTCTGGGGCAGGTGTGAGGCAGGTTGGAGCCAGATTGAGTGAGGTGTGGCAGGAGTTGCGTGTCAGCAGCCGCAGCCTCAGGGCACCATTAATAGTTGAGTGAAAGTTTAAGTTTGAAAATGTCAAGAATGAGGCGTGAACAGGAGGAGGAGGGGAGAGGGGGCAGGAGGAGGGGTATGGGGGTGACAAAAGCCTTCTGTACAGAGTGTACTGAATAGCCTGGAGGCTTTAATGTACAGACTCTCACTCCACAGTCCTCTGCATTTGACCCATGGATGATTAGACCACTGACTGTATACAGATGGACAATGCTAACTCGCTAGCTCAATGCTATCTCAATATTAATCTGCTATCTCAACATGTAAAAGCTAACTGCTCTAGCTCAGTAACTGTTTGTGTCACACTCACCATTATATTGTCTTTGTAAATCCAGATGTTTGTGATATACCAAATCATTTTTTCAATGGACCAGACCCTGGACCCGACCCTGGACTCTCCATTCTTGTTGTCTCATATTTACCACAATATATACATGTAGGCTGCTTTTCTTTTATGTGGTTTTCACAGGAGGAAGAGGTTCAACCAAAACCATCACTTATCATGCCTAAGTGTGACATCACTAACTGAGAACACACCCGCAGTATGTAAATACTACCAGTGTTTATGCAAATACAAGAGCACAGGTGCAGACAGGCGGAGAAGTGAGAGACCAGCTACATGTCTTACAAAATTAAAATGACAGCTGGAAAACGTATCAGAAATTAGTGAACAACGAGCAAGTAAAATATTTTTCAGATTTGGTGTCAAACAATGTGAAAAATTCATGTCTTTTATTGGCAGCACGGTGGCTGAATGGATAGCACTTTAGCTTCCCAGCAAGAAGGTCCTGGGTTTGAATCCCAGTCGGAACAGGACGTGTTCTGAGTGGAGTTTGCATGTTCTCCGATGTCTGCGTAGGTTTCCTCCGGGTGCTCAGGTTTCCCCTACCACTAAAAACATGTACAATAGGTCTGGCATGCACCTCCTATTCAGTCCCCTTTTGCCGTGTGGAGTGGGAGACAAATGCCCAAAAATAACAACTGTAAAAGCACTTTGCGACTCTGGTCTAAAAAAGGCGCTATTACAATACAATACAATTTATTCTTGTATAGCCCTAAATCACAACAGAAGTCATCTCAGAGGACTTAACAAAACCATTGAAATCACCAACAGAGATCAGAGAATCAACAGTTAAGTCACAATAAAGAGGTTGATAAATGCCAATACATGTTGTAGAATGTAGAAGTGTCCTGGATTGACATTGAGAGAGGTATCCGCTCCACGCATATGTTCACAAGCACTATGTCCCCCATTGTCAACCCTGGTTTATTCCTGGTGTAGCTCCTGTTTTGGCTGTAAACATAAATTACGATGTACAACATAGTAGTGCAGAATATATTGGTGGGGGAGGGAAGGGGGGGGCATTTTTAAGGCATCCAGAGCATGAAACAAAGAAAACAAAATACTTAAAGAGCGACTAAACACCTGTGCCCAGTCTTACTCCGCCCACATGAACATTTGAACATTTTCTTTTAAAAGGGCATTGCCTGGAGGACCAAGGGACAATAAGGGGGGCTTAGAGCTGGGCTGGTCTGGGCTGTGATTGACAGCTCACTTGTCTCACTAAAAAAAACAGACAGTTGTCATTGCTGCTTAAAACAATAGTTTACGGACCAGAAAGTCTCATTCCACCCTTGTTTACACACTAAGATATTTGTAAAGCTACACACCTGAACCTAATCACACTCAATAATCTCAGAATTACTCATCAGACAGACTGACACAAAACAACCGATGTCATAGAGAACTTCAGAGTCAATGGAGAGGCCAGAACCAAATTCAAATGTAGTACCACCAAAAAGGTTGAGAGGGCGCCACACAGACGTTTTTTGGCTCAAAAGTGATATTTTATCTAATTTGAACTAAAATGTCCAAAAAATGACCAGGATATGTAGAGAGCACTACAATAAACATATTTATGCAGTTTATGAGTTGAAAAAAGTTGATTTGGTGTTTAGTCGCTCTTTAATAAAAAAATCAAATAACAAGCAAGTACTGTCGTGGAAATATGTAGGTGCTAATGTGTAAGTGTGGGTGTTAATGTATCTGAGTGTTTGTGTATATGTATAAATGTGTGACCATATGTGTCTGAAGAAAAAATAGAAAAACAGAACAATAACAGTAAATAAATCGAGTGCGGCCACCTGCTGTCTCCACAGATCCCAGTTACGTATTTGGTTGTTTATGTGACAATATATTTATTTGCTTATTTTGTATTATTATTATTATTTGTATTTTTTCATTGTTTATTTTTTATTTTTTTTGTGCGTGTCTAGTGCATTAAAAACATGCAAGGTTTTTTTTTTTTTTTTTTTGTCCTGTCATTGTTGGGGTCTCCTCCAGCAATAGCAGGGTCATCTCCTTGTTTAATCTTGTGTGTATTGTATGTGTGTGTTGAGCGTGGCTTATGTCCACGCTCAAAAATCCAGGGTTCTGTGGGAGGTCTGCGCTCCAGGGGAATCACCTCTAGAGCGCATGCCTCCCCTCCTGAATGGCCCGATCTAGTAGGTGTGAGTCTGTTGTTGGTTTTTATCATTTTTCCAGTTTTGGTTTGGTAAAAAGAGCTTTGGTTACTGTGGTGACAGGGTTAGCAGCATAATACTAATGGTGTTAGGGTTCTGTGTGTGTGCGTGTGTGCGTGGGTGCGTGCGTGCGTGTGTGCCAGTGGATAGAGGGGGGGAATTCCAAACACTAGTGACTAGTATACGGTGATATTGAGGTATTTGATGAAGGGTGACCAAGTTTCCGTAAAGGACAGTACGTTATCATCCTGAGATGATGGGTGATGTGTGGTGATGTGATGGGTGAGGGAGTTGATCCAGTGGTTGATACTTATTAAGTTTTTGGTTTTCCAGTTTAGTAAGATTATCCTCTTGGCGATAGCTAGAGATGTCAGAAGGCATTTTGTGTATCTGGTTGGTATGGGACTGGTAGAGGTGGCGCTCAATAGACACAGAGATGGGGAGAGCGGGACTCTGCAGCTCAGGATGTCAGAGAGTTTTAGAGTGACTGTGTGCCAAAAGGATTGAACTGGTGTGCATTCCCACAGTGCATGTATGTACGTGTGCATGTATGTACGTGTCTGTGGAGCCCATTGTGGAGCTTTTTGTGTTCAGTTATATGTGTTCTGTGAATAATCCTGTATTGTATCATTTGTAAACTGGTGTTTGGTGTCATGGAGAAGGTGTTGGTGCATATTTCTGTCCAGAATTCGGGTGTGATGGGTGAGTTAATGTCCAGGTTCCATTTTTCTTTTGGGGTGTGTATTGTTTGGTCTGTATTCAATAAGTTGTGTAGTTTGGATATTAATCTTTTCATAGTTTTAATGTTTTTTATATTTTCAATGAGTTGGGGTGCAGTTAAGGGGTTGTGCTGTATGTTAATCTTGCCTTTGATTATGGATTTGATTTGGAAATGTGCAGTTTTGGTTGAGATTGAATTTGTCTGTTAGTTGTTTATATGTCATAAATGTGTTGTTGTTGAATAGATGTCCGAGGTGGGTGATTCCTTTTTGTTCCCATGTGTGGTAGTGCAGTGGTGTGTTATTTGTGTGAAAGTCAGGGTTGTGCCAGAGAGGAGTGTATTTGCAGGGTGTGGGTGATGAGTTAGTTAGTTTTAAAGCTTTCCACAAGGCTGTCAGAGTTGTTGAGATAGTTATGTATTTAAAAGAGGTATGTTTTTTGAGTGCAGTGTTCATTGCTGGTAAGTCTGTCAGTTGGATGTTATGTAAGATAGATTGTTCGGGTTAGTTTCAGGAGTTATTGTGTGTAGGCTTTATCCATGTTGCTAGGTATTGTAATTGGTTTGCAAGGAAGTAGTGTGTGAAGTTGGGTGCGTTAAGGCCGCCCTGTGATTTGGGCTGTTGTAATGTTGAAAGTTTGATTTACAGTATTTTCAGTCTGCTCACTCAGACCACTAATGTCCCCGTGACCACTTGCAGGTCTCTGATGGGTCGCTGTACAAGCGTCCAGAGGAAACGCTCAGCAATATTTATCTCTCGCGCGCGTCGATTCTCCGCTCCTGCGCCTCTGCCGCGGAGTCCGTGTGTGCATCCCGAGATGCACATGCAGTTTCACGCTCAAACGCGCGTCACCATTGACTTTGCATTGAAAGTTGACGCAAGGCATGATCCGGTCTGAACGCGGCATTAGGTAGCGCCCAGCCACTCTGCGGACAAAGCTAATTTCGACCGCTTGTATCCGCGATCTCGTTCTTTCGGTCATTACCCAAAGCTCATGACCATAGGTGAGGGAGGGAACAAAGATTGACCGGTAAATCGAGAGCTTCGCCTTTCGGCTCAGCTCCCTCTTTACCACAACGGTCCGATACAGCGACCGCATCACTGCGCACGCTGCACCGATCCGTCTGTCAATCTCACGCTCCATCCTTCCCTCACTCGTGAACAAGACCCCGAGATACTTGAACTCCACTTGAGGAATGACCTCCCCACCCACCCGGAGAGGGCAAGGCACCTTTTTTTCTGGTCGAGCACCATGGCCTCGGATTTGGAGGTGCTGATTCAACAGGACAACATCGTCCGCAAACAGCAGAGATGAAATCCTGTGGACTCCAAACCGGACCCCGTCTGGCCCCTGGCTGCGCCTTGAAATTCTGTCCATAAAGACAGTGAACAGAACCGGTGACAAAGGGCAGCCTTGGCGGAGGCCAACATGCACCGGGAACAGGTCTGACTTACTGCCGGCAATGCGAACGCAGCTCTGGCTCCGGTCATACAGGGACCGGACGGCCCTCAGCAGAGGACCCTGGACTCCGTACTCACGGATCTGTGGGGATTTGGATTATTTTGTTTTCTGCTCCCTCTCACCCTGTGTTTTATGTTGCAGGCAGTGCTGATGGTGATGGGGGCGTGGCTGGCCAGCTCATCCCAGTGTGATCACCTGGGCTCGCCAGATAATTCCGTCTTGTTCTGTAGTACTTTTGCCTCTGTGCTAATTTTGGATTTTCTGAGCTTTTTAACTTACCGTCTCCTATATTTTCGCAGGTGCTCTACTGCTGCCTCTGCCAGCCTCTGCCAGCGTCCGTCTCCACAACCTGCCTGTCTGTTTATAATAAACTGTAAATACCTCACAGTCTCCACTCTGCTTTTGTGATCCTAATTCTATAAAAACCTAACTGGATCATGATGATTACTCCCGAATCATCATAATTGTTTTAACTATTCTATATTTTATGCTGGCAAACCTGCATATTCTCACTTTTATCTCTGTGCAGCACTTTGGAAACTTCCATCCATCCATCCCTTTTCTTCCTCTTAATCCATTTCTGGGTCGGGGGTAGCCTGGTTGTACCACACCATAGTACAAATTACATTTCGTACTAAGGTCTGGATTTGCTCCATTGACTCCATGAACAGGTGGGAGGGGTTAACTCCTTTTGCAGATTGAAACGATTGGATCTGAGTTTACCGTGACGTATGTAGTGCGCCCGAGTCTGTTGTTAGCATTAGCATTTAGCCTAGCTTTAGCCATCTCCTTTGCCGCTAACGGAATCCGTGGGGAGTAGCGTCTCAATCTTGACCAGCGATTACATTTGCTAAACATTCCTCTTGCTCCGGCTTCAATTTCTTGATAGAACCAGACCGGATTACTTTACTATCGCATTCTTCGCCACTGCCAAACTACAACCTGCCCGTTCGGCGCAAACTCTTGACGTCACCGGCACCGACCTACAACACCCGCCTTCCGCGCTCTCTGAGTAGCCGGTCGAAATACGACCGATTATATTCGCTAACACAGGGACCCGTCACCCGACCCAGACGCTACATGCAGTGAAATGATGATTGAGCGGAGTGTACGGATGGCTATGGCCAGGCTAGGTCGGAGGGGGTGGCCGTCAGAGCTGCACCCAGTACACAAAGCACCATCCCCCACTTTGGAAAATGTGCATAGATAAAGTGGATGGTATAAAAGCAAATGAAGGCTGTGCTAATTTTAAAACCCCATATGTTACACTAAAAAAGGTCCACTAGAGGGCAGCTCAGAGGGCATTAGTTGCTCGTCCAATGCTGCTTGTCCAATGCTGCCCCCTGGTGGGGAAGCAGAGTCCGCAGCTGGACCAGAACCACCTCCGACCACCTCTGCCACACCACTGGTAGGAGCTGCAGACACACAGACCAGGGCCTCAGACACAACACAGCAAATCACCACACACGCACGGCAAGGAGAAAACCAGGGAACATCCCTTTTACTTATCACAGCATGGCGTTGTCAAATAAGCCGATTCTCCGGTCTGGTCCTGCTGTCCTAATCCCCGCGGGTGGGTGAGGTGTCGGGATGCGTGGGTAGCTGGAAGGAAGTAATCTTGACCACAACAAGACAGTACACGCAGCCGCTGAGCGATGTTAGGGTACGTCCCTTAACACTTAGAGGTTGTAGTGTTGTATCAGAGTCTTTCCCCGGCCTCCCTCTGGTCCCGTCCCGGCCCACTGTAGACTGTCCCGTACAACACAGCTGCGGGTCACAAGCCGTATCAAAGAGTCCCAACTCTCAGAAATGTATACGCATGGTAACAGAGGTGAGTCGGGACACGTCCCTGTACTTATCACTGCTCAGGCGTTGTACCAGGTCTTTCTGGCTCGTCCAGTTGTCCCGCGTCCGGCCGCTCCTGCGCCGAGTCCTGAGTCTTGGGTGGATAATCCGTCTTGAACCGGCACTTCGACGTTTCTCCTTCCTCTTTCCCAGTCTACGTCCCAGTTTCTGCTCCAGCCTCTCCTGCTGTACGTTCCTCCTCCCCTCTTTTTAACCTATTCCCTCCGCTGTGGCGACCAATAAATAGTGTCCTGGGACAAAGGGGCGTCAACGACAATTTAGGCTGGTACTGGGGGGAAGCCTGAGGATATATGGACTAGGGATAAAAAGGATTCTACGGGAGCACTGTGACAAAAACACTGCTCGTTTGGCTCCCACTCCAACTCACGCTCTGGCTCCGCTCTTATCAGCAGCTCCGATTGGTCAAATACGGCCGAGCCCCTCTATGCACGTGCATGAGAGCCACACGTACATATTTGGCGCAAAGCATTATGGGAGCTCGTTCATTGCATAGAACCAGGAGGACCAGACTATGCCCAAATCAGGGCGAGTTCAGTTAATCTTTCTGTCCCCAAGGTGACACATGCACCACTGAGCACTAGCCATTCATTTCAATAGGACGCCATCTTTGATCGCCTGGGCTTGATTGCAGCTCACTTGGATGTTCATGTCCAGAAACTGTGTCTTTAGAGAGAGATTATAGGCAGGTACTCTTTAAGAGACCAATTGAACTAGAAATCCTTTCCTCTGTTGATTCTAGTAACCTGCAAGAGAAACTGCCAATGTAGCTTCAGCAGAGTTCGAGGAGGAACAAAAGGATGTTCTTTCTGAATGTGCAATGGTGATAGGTGACTCTAGTGAGAGGGAGGGAGGATGTGGTGAATCCCCCCAAGAACTCTCCCTTGTTTTGAGCCCTTCTCCCCAGATGTTGATGTCTCTGTGCCTGGAACAGGGCAGGCCCCGGCCAGTTCCATTGCCAAGATTAACCTTTGCCTGGCTCGTCTTCAGCTTGAGGCAGGGAAGGTGTGTAAGGCAGACCACGAGCTGCGATTACAGGTACGCAGTCTTGAAAAACAAGCTGAAAAAGAAGTTAATTTACAACAGCTTGATTCAAAGGCATTTAATTTGCTAAAGTTGAATCTCACAAGCCTGACTCCAACCAGTCACGCAGCCCAGAGCAATATCAAAACAGACTCGACAGATCACACAGCGCTGATCAAACATGTGATGTCCAACAGCGTATGAGCAATAACCACATTGGTAACAATAGCTGATCGAGTGTGTGATCAGAAAATTTGTGCCCGTTTATCACAAAACACAATTTGTCGTTTACAGTTGCGCAACCACTTGTGAACTTGCAACGTGCAAAATAATATCTGAAGACAAACATGCGCTCTCTGGTCGAGAAAAAAAAGGAAACGTGTAAGTGAGGGCATGCAACAATACCACAACATACGAGGAGTGAGGGGACTGACTTGAGCAGAGCGGCTGAAGGTTCGACTCCCCATGGTGATGAGGTGGGCAAGAGGGACCAGCTGGAGGGAGGAGGAGGGAGCGGGCAGGTGTGGAGATCTGGAAGAGGTCAGTCAGGTATGGAGGAGTGAGGTTGTGGATGGCTTTGTATGTGAGGAGCAGGATTTCTTATTGGATGCGGTGAGTGATTGGAGCCAGTGGAGCTGTTGGAGGACCAGGTGATGTGGTTGATGGAGGGGGTGTGTGCGCCAAGTGTTTTGGACCAGTTGGGGTTTACAGAGGGTTTTTTGCAGGGGACTGAAAAGGAGGACGGTAAAATAGTTGAGACAGTTGAGACAGGTGAAGAGTCAGTATGAGTATGGCAGTGGTGTGAGGGGAGAGGAAGGGCAGAGTTGGCGAATGTTTCTGAGGTGGAAGGAGGTGATGCGGGTGACACTGTGCGGTGAATGATAGGGTGCTGTCGAGGATGACATCCAGACTCTTTACCTGAGGAGACGGGGAAATGGAGGAGCAGTCAATGGGAATGGAAAAATGTTGGATTTAATATAATTCACGTCCTTTTGAAGAAAACGTAGTGCAGATTTGTGCTGGCGTGACATTATTTTTTAGATTGAGTTTTGATGAAACAAGGAAGAGAATGTGTTTCGGGTCGCGGATTGTGACCAATCACAGCGGACCACTGGCCCCCACTTTCGAGAGAAATCTACAGGTCTCCGTTAGCATAGACGGCTGAGTTAGCACAACAAGCGGCGGAGCTAACCTGAAACTTTGTGTGTCTTCGTCACCAGTTACTGCTTACACAGCAAGACAGCCATCCAAAAGAAAGTCCCGTTCCTCCGCGCTTCCCGGTTCTATCGTTCTATGGTCACACCATCCACGCGCAAATCCATATCCATGTATTATCCATATTGGGAGACGCTATCTCCGTCCCAACAGTGGGTGTGTGTGGGGGGCGATAGCTTCGTGGGTGCGGGGAGGGGAGCAGAAAGAGCGAGGCCAGCGAGTCCACGGCTTCAAAATCCCAAAGTCAGTTAGTGCAGCTTTAACAAAACTGTTGAAATCACCAACACAGATCAGAGAATCAACATATAGAACACATATGTAGACGTCCATATGTTGATAAATTTCCATAAATGTTGTAGAATATAGAGGGTCCTAGATCATCACCACAGTCCTTCTTGTTAAACACTGTCCAACAGACCTCGCTCCTGCATCAGAGGAAAAACCCCAAAATCCAGTGGGAGAAAAGTGAGGGATCCACTCCACACGGACGGACGGGCTGTGGATCCAGAACCTAAGCTACAGAACGAGTACCAAGGCCACGCAGCTGTTGGTGTTGTTGTTAGTTATGGGTGACGTCAAGAGTTTGCGTCGAACGGGCCGGATGTGGTTTGGCAATGGCGAAGAATGGGATGGTAAAGTAATCCAGTCTGGTTCTGTCAAGAAACTGAGGCCAGAGCAAGAGGAGTGTTTAGCGAATGTAATTGCTGCAAAGATTGTGGCGCTACTCCCCACGGGCTCCGTTAGCGGCAAAGGAGACGGCTATGCTAAATGCTAACAACTCACTCAGGCGCACTGTAAACGTCACAGTAAACTCAGATCCAATCGTTTCAATCTGCAAAAGGAGTTAACCCCTCCCACCTGTAAACGGAGGTCAATGGAGCACCTCCAGACCATAGTACAACATTTTATTTTAAGGTGTTAGCCTGGCCATAGCCATCCGTACACTCATCATTTCACTGCATGTAACGTCTGGGTCTGGTCCCTGTGTTAGCGAATACAATCGGTTGTATTTCAACCGGCTACTCAGAGAGTGCGGAAGGCGGGTGTTGTAGGTCGGTGCCGGTGATGTCAAGAGTTTGCGCCGAACGGGCAGGTTGTAGTTTGGCAGTGGCGAAGAATGCGATAGTAAAGTAATCAGGTCTGGTTCTATCAAGAAATTGAAGGCGGAGCAAGAGGAATGTTTAGCAAATGTAATCGCTGGTCAAGATTGTGGCGCCACTCCCAGTGGGGGCGGGTCCCGGCTCAAAAGTGGCCAAATTGATGTGCGCTGACATGCTGCAATACCACCCCGGGCCGATGGGGGTGGACCCAGAAGAAGAATTAGCCAATGCTAACATATAGCATTGGCAGACCTCTCAAAAACGTCTTTACAGGATGGACCAAAAGTTGGCTCTTGGCCCAAAGCTCCGTTCCACATGTCAATCAATCAAATTTTATTTATAAAGCGCTTTTCATACGAAAAATGGAACACAAATTGCTTTACAGTTTAGTTAAAAATAATCCAACATGCCCAGCCCTAAACCCTCCTCCCCACAGACCTCCCCCCAAAAAAACCACATTTATAATTATATATACAACCACATGCGTATACAACCACACACACACCGGCTGAAGAAGCGCCATCCAAGGAGCCATCTGCACCAGGAGCAGAGAGCCGGCTGCAGCCACAGGCAACGACACAGGACCCAGAGGAGAGAGGAGGCCCCAGACCCCCACCGGATCCAAGAGCCAGTCCCCCGAAGCCACAGCAGACCCCAGCTCTCAGTGCAGAGGGCTCCTCCAGAGGAAACACTGAGGATACTAAAACAATACAATAATACAATAGAAAGTAGAACAATAAAATGAGACACTAAAAAGAAAAATGGCAGCTGCCTAATATTGATAATAACAATAGTAAATGGGTAGATACAATAAATAATAAATAATAAAAAAAAAATAATAAAAAAATATAATGTGTCTAAAAACATAAATAGATGTACTAAAAAGCAATAATAAATAATCAAAAGTAATCAAAAGCTAATCTAAAAAGGTGCGTCTTGAGGCTGCTTTTAAAAATATGAACGTTCTCTGCGGCCCTGAGCTCCTCCGGCAGACTGTTCCAGAGACGGGGGCCGTAGTGCTGGAAAGATGCCTCGCCGTGAGTGTGTGTCCTGACTTTGGGGATGGTTAGGAGTCTGCTGCCGGAGGAGCGCAGGGGCCGGGAAGGTTCATAGGATAAAAGCAAATCTGAAAGATAAGAAGGCCCAAGACCATTAAGACATTTAAAAACCATTAAAAGAACCTTAAAATGTGTGACATGTGTGGCAATGCTGAGCGGGGTGAATTTGTTTGGTCCACTCTAGTTTACTTGCTGTGAATTTTTGAAGTCTCTCGTTCAAATGAATGGAGCTGCGCCGGCTGTTTTTTCACCATTTTCTTGAGGGCGGGACCACTCGCGGCCATTTTGGATTGCTCCAGTAGCGCACATTTTTTGGCCCATTAGTTAGAACGGCGTAGATAGGCGTGACTCTGTCCATTAATATATACAGTCTATTAGACCTTATCCAGACCTTAGTATGAAATGTAATTTGTACTATGGTAGAATAGTGCTAAACCAACAGACAGATGAAGCTGAATTGGCCAATGTCTGAAGATGTATACACCCAGGAGAGAAAGACTATACCTTCTTCTCAAATCCACACAAAACGTATACGAGAAATAAATGTGTGGTATCAAAAAGAATGGTGGAATCAGTTAAAGTAGCAGTATGTAATATTTGCATGTCAAGTCATCATTAAATGGCCCCAATATTTCAAAAGGCGTTATTAAATCATGCTCTTTTCGAATACAACTTTAATTGATAACAGTAGTTCAGCCGAGATATTTGAATATCAAAATTAGTTTTACGACCCGTAAAAGTAGTTATTGTTTTGATTATGATGTCCTACCCTCCGCCGTTTTGCCAATCAGGAAGTGTCATGTAAGTCCGTGATCGGGTTGCCAGAACTCCGCGCGGCTCATTAATCTCAGTGGTAAAATAACATGTGGCGCAGAACTAAAAAAGGTCTTGTTATGACTCTCAAATAATTAATGACAAAACAAAGACTAAAACGAGGATTCATATCGGGACGCCTTTGAACAATTGAGACAGCTGATAAAAGTTTACGTGTGATGCAGAATTTGCTGCTTTCAGTCCGTTCTTCAGAAGAATGTGTTCAGCGCGAATCGATGGTCTAGTGGTTAAAACTAATCGCTCACTAGGCAGGGAGCAGCCCGGGTTCGATTCTGGGCAGGAGCTTATCTGTATTTAATTGCATGTTATCACATTCTATGACAGATTGCTCTAGATACGGTGAAAGACGAAGGTCAAGACGTTTTATTGCAGATTATAGCTTAATTGTAAAAATAATCATTTAAGACCACATGTACTCCAGTTAAAATAATGTTAGTCTCTGTTTGATGTGGGACTTATACATGTTTGTCTAAAAATAGGGAATAAATCAAATTAAAGGTGATATCCTCTGGAGCAAACCCTGATGTTGATACGCTGAAGAAATACGTTCCAACATCCATTCTTCCCACTCCTATTTTGGACATCAATTGCTTGTTTATTTTGTATAAGCTATAATTACATTGCTTTTATTTTGTTTTGTTTTTTTTATCTCAAATGTCCAAACAAAAAAACATCCAACATTCATTCAACATTAGCACGCCTCATGGCAATGTGAATGGAGACAGACAAACAACTGATAAAATAATTCCCTGTGTTTGCTGCTGGATTTGGTGTGTATCTGGCAACCTGAGTCAGGGAGAGTGGGAGAGGACTACACAATATTGACTGTGACTGCAGTACCACTTTTGGCCAGATTTTTACATATTGGCCAAAAGTGGTACTGCACTTTTGTTGCATTTTCTGACAACAATACAGTTGTCAGAAAATGCACATATTAAAATTGAAGTACACTTTTCTGTGACTGGGTGAGATGAAGGAGTCCCCACAAATGCAGGAATGCCAAAATGATGATTTATAAATGAAAGTCCAGGTAAAAACACCAACAGCCAAACTAAAGGCAGGAACCAGGAACAAAGACAGAGACAATAGAATGGACCATCAACAACAAGGGGAGAGGAGCTCAGGCCCATGTCACAGAGACACAGGTGAAACACATCAGGGCGGGGCAGACCATCAGGAAGACAGGAAGTCACGCTAAAACCAAAGCACATAGAACTGATTTCAAAATAAAACCAAAGTACAAAATAACAAAATATCCACACCATGATTTTATCTTGTACTCAAGGAAGCCAAAAAGCTTGGCCATGTAACAGATTAATATTATCTGACCCTACATTTAGCAGCAAAACATAATAATTTCTGGAGATCAATGACACTGGTTAGTGATGGGTCCAGCAGCACTGATACATGTGTGGCTTTAAGAAAAAGGTTTGTTACGATACAGATGCAGTTTGACTTGTTACTGATGCAGCAAACTGTTTCAAAGTGTCACCAGGATGAATCGCTCTCTCTCTCTACAGCATTAAAATGGAGCCCGCCACCAAAAGAAAGTATTCTGCTATGTGTTGTATTTCATGTTTCACACTTTATCTATAATTAATATTTAATTTCATGCAGGTCAAATGCCGCATTTGTTCATCAGAACTGGCATTTATAAATAACAGCACATCCTCAATTCTTAGGCATTTCAGGACGAAGCATGAGCATGATTTAAATAGACCCGACATTAACGAAGGTATGTATGCTTTATTTACATATGTTATATATTATTATTATTATTATATATTATTATTTCACACCAGCATCTAGGAAGATTGCTTTGGACCAGGCAGTCCTGGAATTACATCCGTACATCAACAACAACTCACAGAAACTTTGTCTCAACGATGTATGGACCCTCCACACTCAGATTCACCGACATCTGAACAGCCTGGACCCTCAGAGTCACCGACATCTGAACAGCCTGGACCCTCAGAGTCACCGACATCTGAACAGCCTGGACCCTCAGAGTCACCGACATCTGAACAGCCTGGACCCTCAGAGTCACCGACATCTGAACAGCCTGGACCCTCAGAGTCACCGACATCTGAACAGCCTGGACCCTCAGAGTCACCAACTTCAGGCAGTGTTTTCTCATTTGTGCATTTATCTTGTTGCTATTATGTACCAGATGATAAAGACTGACATTCCATTGTTTTTATTTCATTTCAGAAACTTGTGGCAGGATCTTGTTGTTGAAGTTGACAGACAAAATGACTAATGGACAACTGACTCAATCATTGAGGTCCAGCGCGATTGGAGGATCAGAGACACACGCCTCCAAACCTTTTCCAGCTCTCATTGCAATTTTTATGTTCCCCGGCTTCATCTGTGCCATGTGTGCGTGTGTTCTTGAAAGCTGCGGAAAGTGTCCAAAAAACGCAAGAGACTGAGCGGAAAAACATTGGACATACTTATTTTTTAAATAAAAATATTTTAAACATTTTGCTTAACAAATTAAATTCACAACTATCACTTTATTTTTCACATAAAATGTCATAATGAAACAGAAAATACAGTAACGTAACTTTGTGTACATGTGAAGGTCATTGAATCAGAGTTGGATGCAATGATGTGTAAGATCCACCAGGTGTCGGTATAGAGCAGCACATCAATGATAATGGTCACACAGATCTGTCAATCCATCCATCCATTTTCTACCCTTTAATCCATTTCTGGGTCAGGGGGGTGACAGTCAGAGATGCCACCCAAGTCTCATAGCACCAGCCCCTCACTGACCCTCTGCAGGTGGTGAGTCCACAGGAGGACGGCTGCTCTCTGAGTGTGAGCATAGCCTTGATCTTTCAGTGGGGGCTTTTTGGGCAAAGTGGGGTTAAGTGTCTTGCCCAAGGACACAACGACAGCAGTCATCAGTGGGAGTCGGTGGAGAAGGTTTAGAGGTGGGAATTGAACCCACAACCTTCAGGCCTGAAGGCCAATGCTCTACCAACTGAGCTACTGTCACCCCCATGTTTGGAAACCACTAAAGCCTCAGGGGCCTCATCATTTCCCACTGCGCAGCTAAAAGAGGTTAAGTGATTTATAAACCAAATAGATGAGATAAATCTACAAGAAGCAAAGGGAGAACATGTGATTTGAATGAAATGATCCAAACGCAAATCCCAAAATACAATTTTTGTAATTATTTTAATTAACAAAACATACTGGAGTACAAAAGATGATTGTAATAAAGTCCAAACGGGATTAAAAGAAAGTTCTAGAAAAATGGTTTTCAGTATCTTTGATTTTGCTTCTACCACAGCAGGGACGAACTTGAAATATTCTCCCTAATCGGCCTGATGGGAGACGGCTCAATACAAACACAAAACACAGAAAGAGAAAGAATAACCATTTATGCAGAAGTTCACAAATATATTAGCCACAATAAAAACAATGTGTTTTTAACAATTGTTACAATAACAAAAGTAAGTGACCAAAAGGGAAAACCTGTTTGTACAACTAGTGAGCAGGAGGCAGCAGGAGGCAGCAGGAGGAGACAGCAGGAGGCAGCAGGAGGAGACAGCAGGAGGCAGCAGGAGGCAGCAGGAGACAGCAGGAGGCAGCAGGAGGAGACAGCAGGAGGCAGCAGGAGGAGACAGCAGGAGGAGACAGCAGGAGGCAGCAGGAGGCAGCAGGAGACAGCAGGAGGCAGCAGGAGGAGTCGGCAGGAGGCAGCAGGAGGAAACAGCAGGAGGCAGCAGGAGGAGACAGCAGGAGGAGACAGCAGGAGGCAGCAGGAGGCAGCAGGAGACAGCAGGAGGCAGCAGGAGGAGTCGGCAGGAGGCAGCAGGAGGAAACAGCAGGAGGCAGCAGGAGGAGGCAGCAGGAGGAGACAGCAGGAGGCAGCAGGAGGAGACAGCAGGAGGCAGCAGGAGGAGACAGCAGGAGGAGACAGCAGGAGGCAGCAGGAGGAGACAGCAGGAGGCAGCAGGAGGAGGCAGCAGGAGGAAACAGCAGGAGGAGACAGCAGGAGGAGACAGCAGGAGGAGACAGCGGGAGGCAGCAGGAGGAGGCGGCAGGAGGAGACAGCAGGAGGCAGCAGGAGGAGGCGGCAGGAGGAGACAGCAGGAGGCAGCAGGAGGAGGCAGGAGACAGCAGGAGGAGGTAGCAGGAGGCGGTTCTCCGGTTCCTCTCTGGGGGTCCCTCAATGAGTCCTTACCAATTATTAACATCATTGGAAAATGGTCACTCCCTATAGATCAGTGTTCCCCAACCTTTTTGAACCACGGCACGCCTTTTTCATTGAGAACCTTCCCATGGCACAACATCAGCTCAAACATACATACTTTAAACGCTGCAGCCTGTATTAACCATGTCAAGTCATTCTCAGACCAGGCATGTCAAACTCAGGCCCGTGTGAGAAGTTTTTAGTGGCACCTGATATCATTTTCAATGATCATTACTATGGCATGTTATACTTCATTTTAAGCTTAATTTTTTTCAGAAATTAATACAAATATATCTGCTCTCAGATATCAGTCTTCCAATCTCCAATCACATCTCTTGAACATAATATCAGAAAATAATATCCAAACCAATGTCAAATTATTTTCTATTTTGACAATAACAAAACATATTCTCAAAATACAAAAATTAGTGAAAATAAATAATTATTATAAAAGAAAAACACCGTCGGCCCCCACCTGTTCAAATTTTTTTCAATTTGGCCCCCGACCAAAATGAGTTTGACACCCCTGATATAGACAATCAAGCGAGAGCAAAAAGGTTCTTTTTCCCATATTGTGACCAATAAGGGGATTTTGGGTTATTTTTTTGGGCACACTAACGTACCACGGCACGCTGGTTGAAAAACACTTCTATAGATCATCCATCTAAGTTATCCCATTCCCCAACGCTAGACAAAACTGAAGAAGCAGAGCCAAATCAATACATGAGAGCCTACCTGTTCTTATATTGAATTATGTTTCTTTATGATGAGCCCTTCCATCATTCATACACGGGCTGTGCGCATTAAAATCACCCATAAAACAGGTCCTCGCATCCTGCATAGTTTTCTTCAAAGAGTCACCATTTAAATTCAACCACGGATTATAAAAAATGCCAACACTAATTTGACCCTGTGAACCCCATACCCTTACGGCTAAACACTCTGTTCTGTATTTAGCCCTAATCGCTGATATTGCACACACTCTCTAATAGATATTGCACACACCCTTTCTGGGACAGTTACACTCTTGCTGCCCAAATCAGTGTGGAGTTCCAGCAGGATTAGGGGGCGCCACCTGGTGGGTACTACCCCGAACTGCCTTCACTTTCCTGACTGCTTCTGCACACAAAACATTTCTTAATATTCTCCGCTCGGCTTGGATATGGGCTGTACGTCCTCTGAATGTTAGCACATGGTTTCCTCCACAATTACAACTGCTGCTACCGGACACCTAAAACTCTTCTACGGGGATCAATAAAGTATCTATCTATCTAGAATATATAAAGCTACTACTACAACTACTACTTCTACTACTGCTACTGGTACTACTACTACTAGTAGTACTGCTAATCTAAAAAGGTGTGTTTTGAGCCTTTTTAACATTCTCTGCAGTCCTGAGCTCCTCCTTCTGCCCCTGAGCTCCTCCTTCTGCCCCTGAGCTCCTCTTCCGGCCCCTGAGCTCCTCCTTCTGCCCCTGAGCTCCTCTTCCGGCCCCTGAGCTCCTCCTTCTGCCCCTGAGCTCCTCTTCCGGCCCCTGAGCTCCTCCTTCTGCCCCTGAGCTCCTCTTCCGGCCCCTGAGCTCCTCCTTCTGCCCCTGAGCTCCTCTTCTGGCCCCTGAGCTCCTCCTTCTGCCCCTGAGCTCCTCCTCCAGCCCCTGTTCCACAGACGAGGGCTGTAGTGCTGGAAAGATGCCTCACTAAGAGACTGTGTCCTGACTTTGGGAAGGACTCAGAGTCTGCTGCTGGAGGAGCAGACTCTGAGTCACCCCGTCTTCTCTTACTCCTCCTCCGCTCACTTTATATTCTCTTACCCTGTCCTCTCTCACCCTGTCTTCCCTCACCCTGTCCTCTCTCACCCTGTCTTACCTCACCCCGTCTCCACACCCACCTCTGTTATTTCATAAATTCAGGAGAATTTCATAAACGAGACAAAATCTTTGTTCAGTTCAGCTTTTTAATCAGCGTGAACGGCTCAGACTTTCAGCAGGACCTGGACCGGTTCATGGTCTTGTCTGGACTGGTCTGAACTGGTCTGGTTCATTCCTCAGACTCCTCATTCTCCTCCCTCATCCTCCTCATCTTCATCTTCTTCCACCTCTTTGGTGATGATCAGGACTTTCTGAGTCCGAGTGGATCCAGAGTTGTAGACCGCACTAAAGGAGAACCACAGTCAGAAAGAGGTCTAGCAGGACTAAAGAAGGTCTAAAGCAGGACTAAAACCCAGGTCCTTCAGGCCTCACCTTCCCAGCTCTCCATCCATCAGCCTTCGGTACTCTGCAATCTCCATCTCCAGTCGGGTCTTCATATCTAGGAGGACCTGGTACTCCTGGCCCTGCCTCTCCAGGTCGCTTCTGAGAGCCACCAGCTGCTGCTCCAGGGACAGGACCTGGTTCTGGTACCCGACCAGAGAGGTACTGAAGCGCTGCTGCGTGTCCATCAGGGTCCCCTCCAGAGACTGTTTCTGAGGGAGAAGAGACCATGAAGAGGGTAGAAGTAGTCATAGTAGTAAAAGTAGTAGCAGTAGTAGTAGTAGTCATGGTAACAGTGGCAGGGGAAGCTGTGGTAGTAGTAGTAGTAGTAGTAGTAGCAGCACTAGTAGTAGCAGTAGTAGTATTAGCAGGAGTAGTAGTTGTAGCAGTAGCAGTAGTAGTAGTAGCAGCACTAGTAGTAACAGTAGTAGTAGTAGCAGGAGTAGTAGTAGCAGGGGTAGTAGTAGCAGGAGCAGTAGTTGTAGCAGTAGCAGTAGTAGTAGTAGCAGCACTAGTAGTAACAGTAGTAGTAGTAGCAGGAGCAGTAGTAGCAGGGGTAGTAGTAGCAGGGGTAGTAGTAGCAGGAGCAGTAGTAGCAGGGGTAGTAGTAGCAGGAGCAGTAGTTGTAGCAGTAGCAGTAGCAGTAGTAGTAGTAATCGTACCATGCTGAGCTGAGACTGCAGTTCTATCTCCAGTCCTTGCACTGTCCTCTTCACTTCATTGATCTCAGATCTGGACGACTGCAGTGACTCGGTGCTGACCGCCACCTCCCGAGACAAGTCCTCTGTCTGCAACACACACACACACACATACAAACAAAGACACACATGTGCACACACACACACACACACCAATAATTATATTAATGCATGGGTTTTATGCGTCTCTTTTATGGAACGCTCAAAGTCTCTTCACAGCATTATTCAGTCACTCCAAACATGGCGGTGTTTAAACTACTACTGTAGCCACAGCTGCCCTGGGGCACACTGACAAAAGCAATCAAAGCCAGTCCCCCCTCTGACAGGAACCAACTAGTGGTATTTGGTGTTAGACCCTGTCCTGCTTAGCTTCAGACGTCTGAAGGGATCTAGCTTTCACCTGCAGGTGACGCCACAGCAACACTCACTCTCACTCGCGCACGCACACGCACAAACACACACTAACACACGCACACACTCAAACACACACACTCAAGCACACACACACAGACACATACTTTCACACACACACACACACACCTTATTCTGGAACCAGCCCTCCAGGTCTTTGCGGTTCTTCGCTGCCACTGTCTCATACTGTTCTCTGATGGTTGCCATGACAACACCGAGGTCCTCCTGAGGAGCAGCGTCCACCTCCACGTTCACTGTCCCCGAGATCTGGGACCGCATGGTCAGAAGGTCCTAAACCAGAGAGAGAGAGACCAGAGACACTTCATATCTCACCTCCTCTTCCTCACCTCCTCTTCATCACCTCCTTCCCCTCCCCACTCACCTCCTCATGGTTCTTCTTGAGGAAGATGAGTTCCTCCTTCAGTCCTTCAATCTGCATCTCCAGGTCTGAGCGTGTCATGGTGAGCTCGTCCAGGACCCTCTTTAACCCTGCGATGTCGGCCTCCACAGACTGACGCATGTTCAGCTCGTTCTCGTACCTGTGGGAGGGCAGCAGGGTCAGACTGGGCCCTCTGTGACGCCCCCTGCTGTTCACTGTTTGTATGACAGAAAGGGTGAGGCATTGCCACAGGGGGTTATGGACCAGGGTCTGGGTCTGGTCTGGATCTGGTCTGGGTCTCACTTGTTCCTGAAGTCGTCTGCTGCTAGCTTGGCGTTGTCGATGGACAGGTAGAGGTCGGCGTTGTTACGAGTGACGTCAAGAATCTGAAACAGGAGCGATGTAAGAGTGAATCCTCACAGAGTGCAAACCTCTGCCAACAGGCATCTCATCCCATTATGGACATTGTGATGTGTTTCAGACACACGGGCCCTGGTGATTACACCGCCCCACGGTATTGGTCCCACGGGTACTGGTGTCACTGCTCAATACGAGGTTTTTGCTTTCACAGTAGAGGCCCCTAAGGGCCGACCTGCTCCAGATTACAACAATAAGAGCCCCTCCCTCCTCTAGAACTGGACCAGATTTGCAGCAGTAGGAGCAGTAGTAGTAGTAGTAGTAGTAGTAGTTGTAGTAGTAGTAGTAATACACAGTACCTGGTCCTGCAGGTCACAGATGACTCCTTTAAACACCTCGTGGTTGTGTTCTTCAGGTTTGGTTTTATTTTCCAGAAACTGTCGAATCTTCAGCTCCAGTTCTCCATTGGCATTTTCCAGACTGCGAACCTAAAGTGCACAAAGTATACACAAGTATTACACAAGTACTACAAATACTACAAAAGCTTTGGCCTCAAAGTACAAACACGAAAATGTGAAAACTCATAATCCATGAGTCAGCTGTTTAGTAACATTATTATTATTATTATTATTATTATTATTAATTATCCTGTGAAATAATTTTATATATGTTTAACTTGTGTTGAACAAAGGTGTGTCCTCACTGCACGGACGTGGCCACTCCCTGATACTGCTCCTACTACTGCTACTACTACTACAACTACTACTTCTACTACTGCTACTGGTACTACTACTACTATTAGTACTGCTAATCCCAGTAGTAGAATAGTTGTTTAACCTGCATTACTCTCTCCAGGTTGAGGCCAGACTGTTGTTGTGAACCTTCACTGTGACCTTCTAATGTCATTGTTCATTGTTGTTGTGGAGTAGCCGTAGTAGGAGTAGGAGTAGCATCAGCATTAGTAGTAGCAGTAGTAGTAGCAGTAGCAGTTGCAGTAGCAGTAGCAGTAGCAGTAGCAGTAGCAGTATTAACTGGGCTTGTTCTTAGTTGGACTGCTCTGTCTTTACCTTGTCCAGATAAGTAGCCAGCCGGTCATTGAGATTCTTCATTGTGGTCTTCTTGTTTTCGTTGGAGGATGTTTCCAGAGCGTCGCTAAGGCTGAAGGACCCCATGGCCCCAGAGGAGGTGAAGGTCCGGGGAGCACTGGAAACCCGGACCCCCGAGCCCCCTGCACCCCCGTACACACTGGGGGAACGCATGGAGCCCAGGCGGGTCGAAGAGGTGCGAGAGTAGAAGGCCATCGTGGAGGAGTCGGCAGGAGTGGAGAGGAGAGGACAGGAGCAGAGTTTATAAAGGACAGAGGAGAGGGGGGAAGACCACTCCTCAAACACACACACACACACGCACACACACACACACACACACACACACACACACACACACACACACACACACACACAAGGATGTTTGTCCCAACACGCCCGTGGCAAAGGCAAACAGAAACACGACACGGGACACTGAGCAGAGGCTGAGGGTGGGACACACACATACACACACACACACGCACATACACACACTGTATACACACTGTGCACGCAAACACACTGTACACACAAGCACACACATACATAGTGGAAAGAGACAGAGGAATGACATGACGGTTGGGTTTCAGGGCTTCTTCTCCTCTGGGCGACTCCCTGGTGTCAGATATGGCGGGAACATCACGTCATTGTCGGAGTAGAAGCCTGTCTCACATTTGCACGAAGAATTTTTGAGGTTTTAGCTGCATAAATCTGAAACACTGACTCCCCATGTTTAGTCCTGACCCTGGCACCAGAAGTAGGCCAGTCCCTGTGCTCCTCAGAGTCCCAGCAGGAGGCCAGTCCCTGTGCTCCTCAGAGTCCCAGCAGGAGGCCAGTCCCTGTGCTCCTCAGAGTCCCAGCAGGAGGCCAGTCCCTGTGCTCCTCAGAGTCCCAGCAGGAGGCCTGTCCCTGTGCTCTTCAGAGTGAGTTGATTTATGAAATTAAATTAATTAGCAGTGCGAGTTTTTTCCGTCCTAGTGCAGGTCATTAAAGTGACTTATTGTACAGTCTGACAGCGGTGGGGATAAAGGCCCTGCTGAAGCGCTCCTTCTTCCACTGAAGGAGCTCCTCAGCTCCTCCTCAGTCCTGTGCAGTGGGAGGTGTTGTCCATGATGGAGGGGACTTTAGACTGGCACCCTCCTGTCCCTCACCTCCTCCACAGAGTCCAGGGGCCTCCTGTCCCTCACCTCCTCCACAGAGTCCAGGGGCCTCCTGTCCCTCACCTCTTCCACAGAGTCCAGGGGCCTTCTGTCCCTCACCTCCTCCTCAGAGTCCAGGGGCCTCCTGTCCCTCACCTCCTCCACAGAGTCCAGGGAGCAGCCCAGAGTGGAGCTGGCCCTCCTGACCAGCTTATTCAGTCTGCTCCTGTCCCGCTCTGCTGCCCGGGGCCCAGCACACGGCAGCGTAGTGTATGGCAGAAGCTACCACAGAGTCATAAAAAGTCCTGAGCAGAGGCTCACTCAGAAGGTGGAGGCTGAGGCCCTTCTTGTGCAGGGCGTTGGTGTTATGGGACCAGTCCAGTTTATTGTTAATGTGAACACCCAGGTACTTGAAGCTGTCCACCAGCTCAATGTCCTCCCCCTGGATGTTCAGCAGCGTGTGGGAAAGTGGTTTCCTCCTGAAGTCGATGATCATCTCCTTGGTGTCACTGGTGTTCAAGCACAAGTGGCTGCGCTCGCACAAGTCGACAAAGTCTGTGATAACCGACCGATATTCCAGTTAGTTCCCCTCAGACACACAGCCCACGATGGCGGAGAACTTCTGCAGGTGACAGCTGTGTGTTTCGTATGTGAAGTCTGAAGTGTGTACATACACTGACCCATGTTACCTTTATGGCACTAACATGTTACAGATGTACTTTGATGCTTCAGGACAGAGACCTGAGACCAGGACTAATGTGAGAGGATTTCAGCCCGTTACAGTATTCTAACTACTGGAGACAATTTCAGGACAACTGTGCTGCAGAGACTGTATTTTGTATTCAGTTTTTCAGTTGTAAAAAGCTGCAGGTGTTACTGACCTGAAATGGCAGTTAACATTATTACTCCTAGATTTCTGTCCTGATTTGAGACTGTTTGAGACTGTTTCTCCCTGGCCTCTGTCTGGTCTCTCTCTGGTCCCCCTCTGGTCTCTCTCTGGTCTCTCTCTGGCCTCTCTCTGGTCTCTCTCATGGCCTTTTTCTGGTCTTCTTGCAGAACTGAGTCTGATGAACTCGAAAATGGAGTTCAGGACAAAAATGTGAAACAAGACGAGACACAAAGAGGAATCTGAGGCACGAGACACACATGTGCACAGAGAGACACACACACACACACACACACTTACACACACACATGCACAGACACACAGAGAGACACGCACATGCATCCTCCTATATATACGCACAAACACAGACACAGAAAGGGATACACACAGACACACATACACAAACATGCACACACACACACACACTCTCTCACACACACACACACACACACACACACACACACACACACACACACACTCACACACACACGCACACACGCACACACACGCACACACGCACACACACACACTCACACACACACACACACACACACACACACACACACTCACACACACACACACACATATACACACACACTCCCTAAGGCTCTTCACATAATTCTTTTGTGACTCACCTTCTCTTCTCCTGCATTCCACAATTTATGATCTACAGATCAGATAACATATGTACAATAGATCTGGCATGCGCCTCCTGTTCGGCGACCCCGCTCCCATCTCTGTGTGGAGTGAGAGGACAAGTGCCCAAAAAATAACAATTGTAAACCGCTTTGTGACTCTCGTCTGTGAAAGGCGGTATATAAATAAAGATTACTTACTTACTTACTTACTTACTTACAGATAAGACCTGGGCCGGTACTGGTTTAGACCTGGTTTAGACTTAGTTTAGACCTGGTTTAGACCTGGATTAGTCTTGGTTTAGTCCTGAAGTAGACCTGGTTTAGACCTGGTTCAGTCCTGCATTAGTCCTTGTTCAGTCGCGGTTCAGACCTGGTTCAGACCTGGTTCGGACCTGGTTCAGACCTGGTTTAGACCTGGTTTAGACCTGGTTTAGTTCTGAAGTCGACCTGTTTTAGACCAGGTTCAGACCTGGTTTAGACCTGGTTCAGTCTTGGTTATGTCCTGGTTCTGACAAAACAACCAGAAACAAAAAACAATAAGGAGTCATAATTCTACAAATGACCCAGTCCAGACCCGATCCAGACCCAGTCCAGACCAAGTCCAGACCCAGTCCAGACCAAGTCCAGACCCAGTCCAAACTACATAAATTAACATGAAGATTTTATTTAGATTTTTGACTGAAGTTGAAACACATGTAACAGACAAGTGTGAAGTGAAAGCAAAATGAAAAGTCTTGCTACGGCACGAGGTGGTACTTTGTGGAACCCTCTTTTGCAGCAATAACAGCAGCAAGTCTTCTGGGGTATAACTCTACCGGATTTGACAGAAAGTTTAGCCCATTCCTTTTTACAAAACAGTTCAAGCTCTGTCAAATTAGATGGAGAGCGTTTGTGAACAGCAGTTTTCAGGTCTTTCACAGATTTTCTAATGGTCTACATGCATATGTTTTGTTTTAAACCAATGTAGATTCATCTTTGTGTTTAGGGTCATTGTAGCCTGGTCGTACCACACCTTAGTACAAATTACATTTTGTACTAAGGTCTGGATTTTCTCCATTGAGCTCCATTACAGTTTTTTCCTGTTGCCTGAACACATTTTGCAAAATTTCGCTCATAGTCCCAAAACTCTAAACACAAGATGATCTGACACAACACTGGGACATAAACCAGACACATCTGTCTCAAAATCAAACTCCTTTATCAAAACTCAAACTCTGTTCTCAAAACTCAAACTCTGCTCTCAAAAATAAACAATCATTTGTCAAAATGAAACTCTGAGGACAAAATGACACACACATGCATCATGTGAACACACTTTCAGATTGGAAGCAACACACTGCAGTACTTTATATAAAACACTACAGTACTTTATATAAAACACTAGTCTTTCATTTTCCACTGTTTTTATTCTGTTTCTCAGTTAAGTTGAAGCTCAAAGTTCTTGTTCTCAACAAAGGTTTACCAACAAACAAAAATGAAAGTACTGAGAGGTTACAAAATACTAACTCAATATTGTACATCATAATATACTTTACAGTACAGTAAAATGCAGTAAACAAAATATAAATAAAAATGTAAAACTATAGGCAATAGTGCGTGGGTGGCATTATGGATCCCGGCGTCTGTCTGGGTCTGGCCACAGGATATGTTCTCCTGCTAAGCAACGGGGGAAGAAACTCCTTGTGTGTCGAATCCATCCATGGATGGACGTTACCTCAATGTCTCTGCATGCCTCTTCCATCGCGTGAAGCAGAGGCATCCGAGCGTGGGGTTGGCGGTCATACACGCGCCATCTCCAAGCGGAAAAAAATTCCTCTATAGGGTTCAGGAATGGTGAGTAAGGAGGCAAGTAAACAACTTGGAATTGAGCATGGTGGGCGAACCAGTTGTGGACCAGAGCAGCCCGGTGGAAACTAACATTATCCCAGACAATCACAAACCTGGGCTGCTCTGCTCTGTCCCGTTCAAGTGCATCATGAAGTGCATCTAGAAATGCTAGTATTTGCTGTGTATTGTAGGGGCCTAGGTTGGCATGATGATGTAGTAACCCTCGAAGGCTTATGGCGGCACACAATGTGATGTTTCCCCCGCGTTGCCCTGGGACGTGCACAATTGCCCTTTGACCAATTATGTTACAACCCCGTCGTCTAGTTTTGTTGAGGTTGAAACCAGCTTCATCAATGTAGATGAATTCATGTAGTTGTACAGCTCCATCCATGTCCAAGATTCTCTGCAACAACAAAATACATAGCATGAATGGCTGGCATTACTCAAAACACAGTACTACACACACAGAGTCACACCCCTCCCTACAACACAAACACACCAGTGCCTTTTTCCCTCTTTGCATGTATGTGGTACTGGTACAATGGCACAGCTATTACTGTAATGAATTACATACATTGCAAAACAGTAAAAGACTGCAAAACTTACTTGTACATGTTTGTGTCTAGTGCAGAACGGTAGAGAATGAATGCGGAGACACGAGTTAAGATTAAGGTGCTTTATCAAACTGAGCAAGACTGCGGCGCCGAGGCCGTATACAAGACGCACGCG